GCACGGTTTTGCACTTTTGTCTTATTTTTGTTTATATGCAGCTTGCTTGTATGTGTGTCTGTGTGTTTGTATATAAGTGTGCATACGCATATGCACGCCAAGCAGTGCCAAGTACTATAACCAAGTTGATTATCAAGCAACAAACATCACCATCATCAACCGTCACCATTGCCGTCAGCCATTGGCATAAAGCTTTCCATACATGCATACAAAACAAGGAATAATGCCAAATATATATACATACACACGCATATCAAATACATATAGATGCATGCATAGTTATCAAGTGAACGGCAATGTAGGAAACAAGTGTGAGTACGGCAACTTCCGTGCTTGTTTTGTATGCTATTTTGTTGCTATTGTTCTTGTTGTTGCTGTTTTGTGGTTGTTTTTGTTGTTGCTGTCCTTCTTGTTATTGTTGTATTATTGCTTTTATTATTCTTGCTTCTTTTTTTTTTATTATTATCATTATTGTTATTGTTGTTGTTGTTGTTGTTGTTGTTTTTGTTCTTCTTCTTCTACTACTTCTTGCCCTTCTTCTCGTTTTTAGTATGTTAAGAAATAGTTTGCTATACGTTCATGTCAGTGTTGACGTTTAGCAAGGGTAGCAGACAGTGACATATGCACTCAAGTAAGCATAAAGTTACATAAAAACACATACACAGAGGCGCGCGCGACCCATATACATGTACATATATTTATATATATATATATATATATATATATGTATATAACAGATGCCTTTACCGATACATCCATATATCTATATATGTTTATGATTACGTATAAAAATACATAAATATATGTAAATGCACATGTATATATGTATGTATACTTATGTACACTCGCATACGTATATATATATACATGAGGTTACCTTTAGATGAACGTAAACAGTTAATGGGTTTCTTTTTGTAGTTTTTTTAAAGTCTTTTACAAGAAACTCTCCACCGGTGTAGATATGTGCTCGCACAAGTATATCTTGCATAAAAAGTTTCTGGCACTTTTTACCTTATGTTTATGTATAAGCAGCAGACATGCTGTAGTAATATGAATAGTGCATAGTTTTGCGCGGAATAATTACAATTGCATAAGTTTTCTCTGTACTTTTTTTTCATTCATACTCTTCATTTTTTTTTTTATATGTTAAATTTTACCCTCACTTCCAGCTAATCTACCGTTACTATGAATAATTTTTTTTATGTTTCTTTTTCCTTTTTTTTTTTTACATTGTTGCTTTAACAACATCGTTCATTTCTTTTATTCATGCAACATAGCTGAGATAATATTATACTTTCATAGTATGCACAGTTACTTTTCGTATTGTCTCTTTCCCCTAAAGGCTGATTTGTTTTTTTTTTTTTTTTCTTAATTTTTGTTTCTACATTCTCCCAAGGATTTTAATGTAGCATAGAATGTGATCGCATTTATATATGATATATCTATATATATATATATATATATATATGTATATATACGCGTTAATTCTGACAATTATATTTAAGTCAGATTTCTTTTGTTATTTAATTTTCTATTGTTTCTGGCCACCACAGCAATTACGATTATAAGCTGCATAGTATGATTAACATGAATTATGTTTATAATTGTTTGTCACTCATACGCATTCGTGCTAATTATGACGAAGGCAAACTAACTGATTATGTTGCATTACTCTATCATCGTCAATGTTTATGAATAGTAATGTAATGTAAGGCAATGTAATGTAATATAATGCAATATAATATAATGTAATGTAATGTAATCTTAATAAAAATGAATTCGAAAATGATATCCTCTTGAATATCAAAAATATTAATATTAAACAGTATTAAACGTATGATATGACTTGATAAGATTTTACTTACGAGACAATCAAATATGCATTTACAAAGTATTAGGAATCTAAGGCATCAGTGACAAGCCAGTGTACATGTTACGACGTTTTCTCTTTTTCTCTTTTTCGTTGTGCTTCAGTTAATTAACTTTAACTACAATTAGCTTTCCTGTTCTTGTCTTGTAATAACAGATAAAAGTTAAATATAAGCAAAACCGAAACAATAATGAACAGAAAGAGAAAAAGAAACAAAGAAGAAAGCACGTGTGCATAATTCAGATAAAACTTTCAAATGTAAACAAAAGTCTTCGATGAACAAAGAAATGAAAATAAAATTTTTTATATTCTTCGGAAAGCGATTTCGTTTTTTCCTAACATACGACTCAATTGGGTTTTTTCACAACCCGCTTTTTGTTTAAGCCACATAACCATTATATAGGCATAAAGGCATTCTTGATGCAAACTCAGATCACTGTGGTAGGGAGGGCGCGTCCTGATGACGTGAAACGTCATTATGAGAAAATCGTCTTTCATTTTATTTTCCGAATAACTAGATAGGTTAATAAATAAAAATTTAAAACTCTTATTATGCATTATATACGCGCTCTTAAAACTTACGTATTAATTAAGAAAAAGCTCAATCGACTCAATTTCATTGAATTTTAAATTTCAAAATTTTCTTAATACAAAAAAGAGTAAAAACACTTAACTTAAGAAATCTTGGAAGTTTCAACTTTCTTTCTTTCTTGTTTGCTTAGCTAACACCTTAAGCTGCTATATATGAAAGTGATTAAGATTGACAAAAAAAAAAAAAAAAAAAACAATTATGTTGAATATCCTAATTCAGCTAAATATGAATAGAAATGAAAAAGAAAAATAAACAGAAGAAGTAAGAAAGTCGTATACGATTGCGATCGAATCTTTTATACATCCACCACTTCTACGCTAAAAAAGACTTGAACAAAAGCAAAAAAAAACTGAATTTGTGTACTCTTTCATACTGAGTGAGACTGCTTTTTAAGCAAGATGTTCTTAGTTTATGTTGCAATGTAAGTGTACTCTTTGATCAATTTGCCGCGTGCAAATATTTTCAATGTATTTGCAAAATTTCAAGGTGACCTTTTAATGTTTGCGGATAGACGGACGGACGGACGGACAGACAAAATTTGATACTGATCAAAAACATATACACTTTACGCAGTCTCTGAAGCTTCTTTCTGAGCGATGAAAATGTTCTTATAAAATTAGTATACATCCATTCTCCGGCAGTGCAATTAAAAAGGTCCAAGCACAACATTTAAACTCAACCCATTTTTTGATCGTAAAATTCACCACACAAATGTATGGTTTTATACCAACTATTGCATCACATAGGCATTCATTAAATGGCTCATAATGTATGTAAATTTTTGATCCGATTAAGACGTTGAATTTTCAAACTTCAATTGAAACTTTAAAATTACAAAACTTAAGATGAAACTCGAAAACCGTTCATATCTTCGCTTAGATCAAACTTTGAATGAATAAAAATATGTATATTTACTTTCTGAATAAACTTTAATACACACCATCTCAACTCAATTTGTCTGCAACAAATCAGTGAGTCTAACTATAATTTACTTTCGTTTTCATTTCTTCTACTCCCTTATCTATACATTATAGATTGAGTTTTGAATATGAGAATTTCTTATCTTTGGTCGAAAAGTCGAAAGCTTAACACTTATAGAGAGGTGGGAAACCATTTTTTATCAACGGATTGCGGCATTCTGCGTCAATTTCTTTCATTTAATGGCTTAATTAACAAAAAAAAAAAAAAAAAACACAAACAAATTTCATGTTTGATACTTGCACAGCTGAAACGGTAGTGCCTGCAGATAGAATCCATTTACAGCATCGCTATGTGCGAGTAAACTGAATTATTTCAAGTTTTAAATTTAGCGAGCCAACAGTTGGCCATGCTTTGTCTGAAGCATAGCACAAACGTTTATTATACCGTTTTTTAAAGTCTGAGATCATAAGCCAACAGAAACGCTACAAATTTTATAGTAAACCTAGCTTTAATCAGTTCGATCGAGAAAAGAAGAGAGTCGTCTTAAATTTCTCACGGACACGTAGAAGACAGAGATTCATTTTTGGAGTGAAGTAAAAGATAAAACCACACTGCATATGGTACAAGGATATATTAAGTTTGCGCGGATATATGCAAAATCGAGAACGACACGAAATAAATCCAAGCTTTATTACAGCAACCAACTTAGGTTGGATTTCGGAATCAATTTCAGAATCGATCTAAATTTGTCTGTCCGTCTGTCCGTTTACAGACCGAAATTTTTGATATATTTTGTTGAAATTTGATACACTGACCTGTTTTAGTCCAAGAACGCGAAAACTATTGACAATGTTTCGGCTCGGGTCGGACGACTTTTTCGACTCCTTCTATTAAAAACTCGTTATAAGAATAACTGTAGGATGGTGTAGAGTCGCGGCCTATTCTAGTGCTTTTATTTATTTTTCTTGTTTTGTTTTAATTTTTTTCGGAATTTTTCTTAGAAAAGTTTCTGACCAGCCTTTCATAAAGATTTTCTAAAAACTTTCTTAAGAACAATTTCTTGAATGATATATTTCAGTTCAATTCTTGCAGGAAAATAATAAGTTAGATAGACCACCAGCATGATAATTGTAGCCAGCATAGTTTCGTGTACAATATTCATGACATATTGAAATGAATTTATTTTGCCTCACGTCAGAGGTACCCGTATACGCGGTATGGAAGCTCTATCATTATCCTTCAGGCTTACTGTTCGAATATTATGCAAACGCTTAGTGAAAGTTGAAAATTGTTGTCGCATTATGAAACATGGTTACAAAAACGCATACGACACACACGCATTACGCCATTTGCACATAAATAAAAATTATATATGAAATTATAATGAACTCATCCCAACTCTCCGACCTTAGCGGAAATCATCTGTCTAAAATTTATTCGATTTAATCCATTACAATGTATAAACACTTAAGTCATATGTGTGTACTTTGTGTACGGTGGAGCAGGAAAGAGCAGGAAAGACTACTAAAGAGTTTCATGGTACATTGCGTATAATATGGTACATACATGGAAGCGTGTGTAAAATGGTTCTCTTAAATTATATACGTTTATAAATACCTTTTCAATCGTGGAGGACATTTTGCTCATTATTTTATTATATATTCTGTTTATTAATTATTTTATATACAAAAAAAAAAACAAAAAAAAAAAACTTCTATTTACTTCAGTGTATGCAAAATTATAGAAACGAGTTTTTATGATATTTTCCAAGTTTTTCTCTTTAGCTTTATCTATAGGATGTGATGCGTCAATATACCGACATTTACCGACAATGCATGTATATATGTATTTACGTAATTTTTTTGTTTTTTTTTTTTTTCTTAAATCCTTCTTAAATATTATAATGTGTATCAATGTAATGTTGAAGTCAGTTTTGCATTTCAAATATATTCTAGTTTTCTTTGCTTGTTTTTCTCTTCTATCTTTTTTTTTATTATTTAATTTTTTTTTTTTTTTTTTTTCTTTATTTTATATTATTTTTTATTTCTAGTTTCTAACACTTGTTTGAATATGTTTTCAGTATGTATATGTGTGTAAATATATGTGTCTGATGAAGAACATATTTTTTTTTTTTCATTATTTTCTTATATGTTTTTCTAACTAATGTTTTTATCTTTCCGCACAATTTAATTTACAGTAAAAATCTCGATTATCCTTCTAACGTAACTAAACTACTCCTGCTTAACTGTAATATATTGTACACAGGCAGGCTGTTCGTTCGTCTTTTCATAAAGCAGAATTAACAAGTGTATATTAGTGGTGGTTGTAGTTGATTGAATGCAGCCAACTTCATTGTTATCCTTGTTTAGAGCACGCGCAATAGACAGGGAAGAAGGAAGAGTTTTCACTAACACCATAAAAACAAAGACAATCGAGTTGACATACATCACACGTATCATCTAACACTGTGAAATCGAATCTGATGAATTTTCTGTTTACAATTAAATCAGAATAAAGACTATAGACTATAAATACATCGTATAGCTTACCTATACGATCATATCGACCGGGTGTAGTATTTCCGTTTCATTAATAAAATTAGCTTTTGCCAACTATTATGTTGGTAGGAAAATTATTTCAGCGCAATTTCACGTTCTCTCTCCCGCTCTCACAACTCGCATCTCACTCGCTCTCTTTATATCGTCACCCCAAACTCTTTTATCATCTCTTTTACATACACGCGTTATTGCCCCAAAAGCAAAATGCTTTTCAAAAATCCCAAACAATGTCGTTCATAATTATTTTTCCGCTCTCTTAGATGTCATACGGAATGCCGTACATTGAGTAAAAGATGAAGTTTGGTGCCCACATTTCAAGAAAGCCATTACCGAGACCAACAAAATTCACGAAATTTATTTTGTAGTTTCGAAAGTAAACGTAAATCAAACACACTTCTGACTGAGGTATGGATCTAATTATACGCAACACCACTTGTGGTACAGAGTGCATTAAATTTGGCAAAACGGCTTAAGGTGGACTCACTTTTTCATAATGCGTAATACCGATCGATTCGGAATAATTTTCTGAAGTTCGCTCTCCTTTCATCCGTCTGCTGATCTCCCCTGCATGCTGACATGCAGAGAAAGAGAGAGAGAGAGAGAGAGAGAAAGATGATTTGCTGGCGAAAGTAATAAGTAAAGTCCGGAAAATTTGAGCAGAATGCTCAGTTTACCAATGGCTCATATAGCTTTTTATTAGACATTTGTAGCTACATCTTACACGATTTACTGATGAGGAGGAATAATGTAAGTAATTGAAATCTAAAGAAAGTGCTTTACTAAGGCTTCGACACACCAGCATTTACTGATTTATCGACGCAAACGAAACCGATGTCATTAACATGAAAAGCAGTTTTCACATTCTTGGAAAATCTGAAATCGGAAGTGAACGAATCGTAATGTATTAGGGATAAGGCGGAATCCCTAAGGGATAGTAAATAAGGCAGGGTCCTCCCAGACGATCTATAGTACAATTATTAAGAAGTAAGACGATTGTACATTTTTCAGATAATCAATTTCTTTTCCATTATTGGCCAAAACGATCCCTTAGTCAAGAATTACATAGAGAGACAGTTATGGCTAAGGCAAAATTTTGATTCCTCACACATAATTGTATCGCAGTATACGGGTACACTTTGATACTCTAGATGCGTTTTTTTCAACAGACGTTTTTTGAAAACAGGACGTAGCGTAACTTGAACAATTTTCAATTTTGTATCCATCACCAAAGGATGAGTGCTTGTCAAAACGTTTGCAACGCCCAAGAGGAAGCTTTAGTGACCCGACAAAGTGTATACACGCTTGATCAGCATCAAATTCTGAAGAGATAAGCATACCCGTCTGTTCACCTCTCTAACTCTCTGTCTGTTCATCTGTATGATGTCTATTGTAAACATTGCTCATGACCATAAAGATGAAGTTATCGCCTTACAATTTGGCAGAAATATTGGAAGTGCCTCCACGCAAGTTGATATTGAAAATGGGTCAAATTAGTCGAAGGAGACGCCTACAGTACTATGTAAAGTGAAAACAACTTTGTTTTTCAAAAGAAAAAAATTGTTTATTTTTGCTTATTACTCATAAACTACAGCAGATATTCTATGGGCAATGCTATAGTACCTCCACAAAAACGAAAAAAATCGGCCACGGCTACCCAATGTTATAGTGAGTAAAAATTTCATTTTCCTTTACAATATACAAACTTCAAAAACCCCATAAAGTATACAAATTCTTGTCCAGCTCTTGTCCACAAAAGCATACTTCCATAAAGTAACCCGTCGTTCAGCTTCAAATTTGGAATGCACCTCTAACCATGTCTATCCGTTCATATGTTCACCTGAGCAACCGTGTACTATATATCTTCTTGATACCAAAATCAAGATGTTTTAAAGTAAAATTTAAAATAAAATTTTACTAATTAAAAATCACTACCGTTTAACTACAAGGCTACCGTCATTTTTCGCATGCCAATCTAAAAAATAAAAGATATTAACTGAAAAAAAATCAAAACCGAAATTTTCATAATAATGTTTTACCTTGATCGAACTTAACACCATTGCAAATGTTACACTTATTCACGCAAAAAGCGTCCTTATTTGAAAGATACATTCAGTGCGCATGTAAATTTACTATAGTCACTGTAGTAATTATAAAAAGTAGGGAAATTATATACAGTTGCAACCAAATCCTTAACACCCTACATCGTTATCCTATAAAAGATTAAAAAAAACGAAAAAATATAAATTTACATATATCACACTATTGAGTGGGCGTGACTAATTTTTTATATTCTTGTAGAATAATTTTGTGGAAATTTTGTGTGGTGTATCTGTCATAGATTATGAACAACGAGCATAAGACAAAAAAAGCAAAAGTGTTGTAAGTCTTCATTCTATAGATCTGTGGGTGTCATAGACGTGTTGTTTGACCTGTTTGGGCCATTTTCAAACTATCTTGAGAATTTGTAAGCGCTATCGAAGAATGTGTACCACGGATACTACACAGTTTGACAGACAGACACGCTTAAGTTCTTTTCGAATTTGAAAATAGCCAAGAATTTATATACATTATAGCTTTTTAAAGCGTGCTTCTGGGCGTGATTAAGATATTGCAAAAGGAATTAAAATTTTATACACCATAAAATTGGGCAGACGTGGTCAATTTTTTCCATTTTTATGCAGGTACTGTAGCATCATCCATAGAGTATGCATTCCAATTTTTGTAATTTATGAGTAAAATGCGAAAAACCAATTTTATTTACCTTTTGAGAGGCAAAGATCTTCTTAGTTTACATACTACTGTAGGCATTTCTTTAGATCAATTTAGTCTATTTCCAATACCAACCTGCGTGCAAGAACTGCGAATGTTTCTGTCGAATTTGAAGGCGATAGATTCCTTCTTGCGACCAGGAGAAAGTTTACAACAGACTTTACACAGATAGACACAGACAACCAGACGGACATGCTCAAATCGATGCAAAATTTAATATGCTGATCAAGAATTTGTATGCGTTGTCGGGTGTCCGTAACTTGCTTATGGGCGTTGCAAACGTTCTGACAAAATGAATATACTACTCAACCTTCCGCGCTGGGTATAAAAATGACCGAAAATTGGCGTTTAAAAACTGCTTTAATAGAGAATTTGAATGCTAGTGCGTACTTATATGCTACAGACTCTACCAAATAAGATTTCTCTGAATAATGTAGAAAATATATGCAAATCGATAGGTAATACATACGTAAACAATAGGGAGTTTTGATCACATTGTGCAAATTGAAAGTATTTAGATGTGTCAAACGAGCCAATCGTTTTAATAAACCGTAATCTATTGAATGCGAAAGTTTTCTACCCTAATTGATAATAGGAATAATTCGGAAAAATTTTTCGATGGATTGCATTTTTTGATATGCTTTTAACACAAACATAATTTTTTCTTTATGCTATTACGGTGTCGGGCAACTCTGTTCAACCTCTCAATGCTGCTTTGTAAAATCAAAGTAATTGAAAAAATATGAAAAAGAAGAAGAGCATATGAAATCTGTTCTTCAACGTCAACAGTTGATTAGTAAACACTTTTTCTTAAATTTGTTTTAGTGAAATTTTAGCAAGAGTGAACGGAAAATACGCAAAGCATTAAACAAAGTTGGCAGGTTAAACGCAAAGGAGATCTTAAATGTTACCACCGCTTTTTAATAAGCTTTTAAAAAAGAAATTTTATACATAACAAAATGTAAACAACAGACGGTCACGATTTAGTCGTAAATAAAAATTTATTAACAAAAGTCATTCCCGTTAAATGTTAAAAGAATTAGTAAACAATAGTAAATTAATTGGTAAAAATTTACGGTAATAGAAGCAAATACGAAACTAAAAGAGGCAAACATATGGCAAATGGCTAAGCAGATTGTTAAACAAATAAGTAATTAAGTGTTGTAATAATACGGGCTAAAGGGGTTTTACGAGGTTTTGTTTAATTAAAAAGATTTCTGATAAAGACTTGGTATGTACGTATACCTATGTATATATGCGTAAGTGTAGAAAGCTTTTAACCTTTTTTTTTTCTTTTTCTTTTTTTTATTGCTTCGATAAGTGGAAATCAGACAGAGCTTCGTGGTATAAACGTCCGTTGTTCGTCAAAAAAATTTCAAAATGGCTCAAATACGTTTTGACAATCATAAATATGCCCGCCTGAATAATCAAGATGATGCTTTAAATCAACAACGCACATTCTCCGATAACGATGAAGATAATGAAGAGATTGAACTTGGCACCGAGCAGGCCCGTTTAAGATACACGCCGGATGGTGAAGAGGATTTTCAGAATAAAGACCGCGGCAGCAATTTACCTGCAAATGGTTATTTGAATAAGTCTTTGAAAGCGCCTACGGATCGTGATGTTGATACTATACCTCAAGCCAGCACATTAAGTGGACGTTTAAATAATTCCCGTTTCATGCAAATGGCTATCGGTTCATTGGCCACCATTCTGCTTTATTTAACTTTATCGATATGTTTAATATTCTATCAGAAGGCATTGATAAAGGAGCTAAAATTTCCTTTAAGCATTGTTTGCTATCATTTAGTAACAAAACTTATTTTAGCGACATGTGTAAGAGCTATTTATCGCTGTCACATGGAAAAGACTCGCGTTCAATTGGATTGGCATACTTCTGTACGAAAAATGGCACCAACCGGCATAGCCAGCGGTATAGATATTGGTTTCTCCAATTGGGGCCTAGAATTGGTACCAATCTCTTTATACACAATGACCAAATCATCGACTATTGTCTTTATATTAATATTTGCTATATTACTGGGTTTGGAGAAAAAGGTTTGACATTCTATTATCTATATTTGAAAAGAAAAGCAAAGAAAAAACATATATATATATATATATATATATATATATATATAAATGTATATATTTACTTTTATTTTTTTTACCTTAATAGAACTGGTCTTTGGTATTTATTGTTAGTCTGATTGCTGTCGGTTTATTTATGTTCACTTATAAGTCTACACAATTTGATGCTCTGGGTTTCATTTTTATACTGGTAGCGTCTTTAAGCGGCGGTATACGTTGGAGTTTGGCACAATTCATTATGCAAAAATCCAAATTGGGTCTACACAATCCAATCGATATGATTTATCACATGCAACCATGGATGATATTGTCGTTGCTGCCCTTTCTCATAGCATTCGAGGGTAATTAACATGATAATAACTGTATATTTCTTTACCTGCATTTATTTATTGTCTTGTGTACATTTGCATACATAAATGCACATATAACCAAGTTTACATAAATGTATATATATGCATACATAAAATTGCCCCTTTTGTATTTAAGGTGAAAAACTTTTAGAGGTCTTCGCCAACCTAGGAGCAAATACTGAAACGAAAATTTCTGTTGATTTATTCAAGATAAGTTTTGGTGCAGTTTTAGCTTTTTTTATGGAGGTCAGCGAATTTCTAGTGCTATCAAAGACCTCTAGTTTGACGCTCTCTATAGCTGGTATATTTAAGGTAAAATTTTCTATTTAATGATAATGAAAATGATTTAGTTTTGCTTTCGTATTTCATTTAATTTCATTCATAGGATATCTTTCAATTAGCTTTGGCTGTTGAATTGAATGGCGATCAATTGACTTTAATAAATGTTTTGGGCTTAATTGTATGCTTGGCCGGCATTTGTTGTCATTTACTGCATAAATATTCCATGTTAACTAAAATTGAAGATTTCCAAACGTATGATGAGACGAATGAAATGCACTTTAATGATAACTCAATTAATGCATCTAATGCTAATGTCAATGCAGCCGGTGTTAATAACGAGTCAACTTCGTCTAGTTTTAGTTTTTTGAATAAACAACATTCCTCGCAAATGGTACCGTTGCTGGAAGAGACAGACTCTGAGGATGATGGTACCGATCATAATGGTCCTAAAGTGAATTCGTCGGATGTTATATTTGATATACTTAAACGTCGTGATATGCCGCGATGAGTAATATGTATAGGATAGAATATGTAATTGCAAAACCGAGTTATAACTATGTATGTATGCAGCTTAGTTAGTTACATGTAAGACTCTAATTTTGTGTAAATGTTTGTAAATTCTATATTTTTATTATAATTAATTTTTCTTTTTATCTATACATACGTATATATATGTGTGTGTAATTTCTCATTGTTGCATTGTAAAGAAAAACGAAAATGTTTTTATTTACTTAGATGTAATTGTAGTTTTTGGACTCACCACAACTATTAAGTGTGTAGACAGATTGTGACGCGTTAAAGATCCGACGCAAAGACGGAGAAATTCGGAATATTCATCTCCTTTTACTGCAATCCTATTTGTATTTCGGAACATTCTACTTACGGTTTCGGTTTGCTTCGTGCTAGCACTACTGTACGGAATAATCATGTCTACTGTTTTGGACGTTGGATCGTTGGATAGATTGATTCTTTTAGCCTCTTTGCGTCGAGTTAAATCTTAACTTATTATTGGCCCTTAACGTAAATGCAGTTGAGTAGGGCGTTGAACTTCATCTTAAATGTCTACCCTGTATCTAGATTAACTTCAAAAATCCGTTTCATAAGTCTGCGGACAGTACTAATTGCGCCTATTTAATCTTATGTTGTTAGATGTGGAATTCACATATGTTATGTTAGTTAGGTGTGCCTGAGGTTGCCTATAAATTATAATTAATTAATAAAATATACGCTTACGTAACATGTGACATTTACGATACTGTTATATATTTTTAACAAAATATCTTTAGTTTTGTATAATTATTTGTTAAAACACACTACAAATAAATAAGTGATGGGTGTTAAATTTACTTCGATTATAATTTCTTGTTTTCCTTTTTTATAATTGACTTCTTAGCAATTTAGTGCGTTTTTAAGTTGATCTCAGATGTATTTGTATTGTATTATGATGTATGTGGCTATAGAAAAAGAGAATTCACAATTGAATAATAAAATTAAACTTTAACTGTTTATTAAGTTTCTAGTTTTACAAAAACACAAATCTTCTGGCGTAAGTACATACAGATTTCATTTGTATTTGAGCGCCCAAAAATTAACATAGTAAACATAAAATCAAATCTGTCACTAATGCCTTCTTTTTCGTAAAGGAAGTGAGATCTACAACGAGGTAATAATAAGTTCTAGGGTTAAACCATATATAAAAAAAGGCAATAGCGGTTTTCGTAGTAACTAAAATAACCTAAAAAAATAATGGGGTACATCTCGTTTAATTCAATGTAACCGTCGACGTTTCGGCGTTAGCAGATATTCTAAGCAATGGTCAGAAATTTTCTCGGCCCCATTTTCATCTTCTTCCTTGGCATCTTCGCTGCGCTCTTCTTTATTGCTCTCACTCTCTTCACCTTCTTCTTCATCACTATCGTTACCGTTTACATAATCATGTTCATTATCCGTGTCAGACTTTAAATCGCTAGCTAACGCAATAGCAGAATGTGGGCTCTGCCCAAAGCTCATAAACGCAGTGGTAAGTGAGTAAGGAATTTGTAAACATTCGTTTTCAAATTGTAAATGGAGAACAGCTAATACAGCATCAACTAATGATGATATAGTATCATACTTATAGGTGGTCAGATCCTCTAAATGCATTGTCCAAACGGGAAAAACGCCATGCATTTTTCGTACGGCCGCTATACCTGCTGATGCTAATACTGAAGGTTTAACATTAGCAAATCTTAAATCTGAAAATATAATTAAAAATGGAACGAAATGTTCATTGTTCTCGTTACTTGTTTTTTTAACTGTACTTGATTATGACTTACAATTCAGTGAAATATCAATTAATTCGAAATATTTTTTATTCAAAGTCGCTTGCATGTCAGCGTAGCCGCTGTAGCGGTCTCTGTGTTCAACTGTCGGATCCGCTATGGTGGTATATGACAATAATTCAGATTGCAATTGCCTTTGATAATCGCTTACAGTTATAAAGCTATTCGAAAAATACTCGGAGAATGTTGCGGCAGTTGGTCGTATTAAATCAAAATTAATTGTTGCCAATACTTTACATTCAATTGTTTTAAATTCATCTAAAGTATATATGTCACCCACCAAATTATTAAGGTGCGCAAATCTCGGCATATCCATTTCGGCTTCCTCTATTTTGGCAGCTATCATTAAGCAGGCAAGGACGGTTAAATTTAAACGGTCGACCTGTACGGTATGCATATCCATAAAGCAGTCAAGCAAATAAACAGCTAAAAGTAATGTATTTAAAAGATATAAAGTTCGTAAATGGAGGACTCCGCTGTGTGTGTCAAACTCTTGTGCGGGCCCATTTACCTAAATGCAACGTAATGCGGCATAAATTATAACAATCGCACGCGTCTTTTATCAGTTTCAATAGCATCGGTCGGAAATGGCACTGCTGCGAACGAAAATATATTATGCGCCGTTTCATTTCGGTTTGAAGTAACGTTTCAAATATATCTTTCGAGTAATCAGATACCCAATCCGACTTATTAATGCGCTATTAAAACAAATGTTTTATTATGTGGTAACGAAAAAAATTACAATAAAAAAAAGAATAAAAAACATGCCACACCTCCTGTGAATCTTTGTGGAAAATTGACGAGGAAGAAATTTGAGTAAATGCATTTACAAACGACCTGTCTTGTTGAAATCGCACATGTGGTATAGTAGCTGATAGGCAATCTTGTTCGGTATTCATAATAAGATCCTTTCTTGAGAAATCGCTAAGGCATTTTTTATTTTTCAGTTTTTGTAATGAAAAGTTATTTATTTGCAACTAATGGCATTACTGCTTAAAACAATTTTTTCATCTTACCTAGCACAATTTTCATTACTCAACACAACAAATGGATCAATCCGCGAATCCTGTGCGTTTCCCTTATCATCCATAATTACCCCGTTTGCAATATACTTTAATCGCTCCAAATCGTTTTCTTCTCGATACTTAACATAGATTTGACAAATTTCTCCCCGATAATTTTCGAAAAAAAAAGAAAAAACAAAACAAAAAAAAACAAAGTAGACGATTTGGTTTTAATTTATCAAAACGAAAAATAACCTGCTATAACGGTTGTTATCGTAGTTGCCCATAGAAAATAGTAAGCATAGCAACACATGTCTATGTAAATGAAAATGAAGAAGAGAATAAATATAAAATGCTGCCAGATGAATTCTGTCATAGAAGGAGAATGCAACCATTTTTAGTATTTATAACCTACCGTAGTTGCAGTAAGAGTAGGTAACGTTTGTACAAATGTGTGTATCAAGCAAAACGACTTAAGATAGACGGATATTTTACTGTTCCAATCAATTCAAAATCATCTTCTGAATCTATTCTTCCTAATGCACGCTCCCGTACTTCCGTGTTCAACTACTACTAAATACTAAATCAATGTGAAAAATTTAGAAGACATGGAACCATGTTCTGGCCACTTTTCAATATAAACATTCTTACAAAAAATATGATTATTCGTAATAATAATCTTTAGCGCTTTAGTATGTGAGAGCATCAACCAATTTATTAATTAAAAATCCAGGCTCAGTATATGCATCGTGTAATGCAATACATTTAACCACAGGACAAAGAAATTTGAATTGCAGTATTTCAGGAAAATCTTATGGTATTGAGATAACTAAACATTTTTGTTCTGTCTACATAAGCATTGCTATTTTACGTCCAAATTGTATTTGAACGTAGAAAAAGTAAAAGTTAGCCGTCTAAGTGCAATGTCGAAACGATGGTGCACTTACGTACTAGTTGGGCTCTTAGCAAAATTATACAAAATTTGCAACTTTGGAAAATAGTTGAAATTGTTACCGAATAAAACCGAAAAATAAAATATATCTCGATAAGAACAGATAAATTGTAAGTAAGGGTTTATGAAATTTTTTATCTCTGAAAAGATCCAATAGTTTTGGCTGCAATTGATTGCTCTATTTTTACTTCTAGAATTTACTTCTTTGGTCTAAATAAATTTCGATAATAATAAAATGACGTCCGATAAAGCAGCCCCAGAAACAGTCTTTATGAATACAGAGGTGCTAGGAAAAATTAATAAATTCAAATTCATTACCATATTTGTTTTACTTGGCCTTACTTTCGAAAAGCCCATAACTTTGTTAATTTTAAAAAACAGATAAAAGCTATGTATTGATAATTCTGACTTTCTTAACAAAAAAATATTAAATTCGCTAAATACGTTGTTTTTGTCATAAGCTTTTCCATATCTTCCACAAGTTTCCTTTATTCCTTCGCTCTTTCGTTTATAATAACATCTGCTTTCTGCTTTCATCCGTGAATACATATTGTTTGGAGATTGCAAGGAATTTTCTAAAATTTGTGAAAGAAATAAATATAGAAAATTTATTTAAAAATTTGTTTGTATGAACTAATATGTTGGTGCACAATTAACAGTCGTTTTGAACCACTATTTATTATGGAAAAGGACACGTAAAAATTCAATAGTAACATTTTTAAATGATTAATCTGGTGCGTAGACACCTTCTACATTTTGAGATGACGAACGTTAGTTAGTTTTTGTGTTATTTCTTAATACTATTATTTACTCGTTACTAAAATTCATAAGTAGCCGTTTCCTCGTCATTGCCATTCTCGGGCACATAGCTGCATTTGACGATGATCGCCCACAAATTTGAATACATGATTAGATTCCTGCTTAGATGATTACCACTGTTTCCTAGTCTTACTTTCTCGTTCTTACAATTCGACTTGAATTCAGTAAGTTTTTACGTGTTTTGGTATATTAAACGGCTAGACCAACGTCTAGTCAATTTTGATCTGATATTACTTTCGATCAGCTGACTTTCGTTTATTTTCATAATAAGATTATTTTTAACATATGGTTGTTCAAATATTTTAGTTATTGCTCGCTAATATCGTCAATTCTAAAAGACAATAACTTAAATCCACGTAATGTTTGAAATCTACGGAGAAAACTTACTTATTTATCTGCCTGTTGCTGGGCAACACCAAAATAGTGGTGAAAAAATATGCCAATATATACATCGTTATGCCTTATAATTACAGCTGATTACTATTATGAATTGTTTACATAAATAAATAGAAAATAATAGAGCTTGCGACAAAAATAATAGAGCTTGCGACAAAAAATAATAGCGCATGCGACATAAATAATAGAGCTTGCGACAAAAATAATAAGGGTTTATGTAAGTGCAGATAACTATGTAGGGATTACAAAGGAATTATCATGAAATTATCGATTCTTATAAGAAAATTGTCAAGGAATTTAATCGATAGCTAATTTTATGTGCCATCTTCTTTATTTCATTGGAAACGTTCGTCTCGATTTTATCAGCTGATAAAAAGTTATGAAACTTCGTGCTGGAAAGATTTGTCAACAATCGAAAACAATAATATATCGTTTGCTATTCAATAATAAACAAATAAAAACGATTTTCAAACACTACATAAACAAAATTAGTAACAAATCGAGATGTAGGCAAAACGCCGGTGTAATTTATATACTACGCGACAACAAGCGATTGGATGCATGTTTCGTTCCCTCTTAAGATTTTCAAAGCCGTTGAGGTAATGTTAACGTCTGATTATTTTATAAGGTATTTTATAAGTGGCATTAATTACCGCAGTAGTAGAGTTGTGACAATTTCTTTCATATGATAAATTAAAACAAATAAATCGGAAATATATTTCCTCGACGGAAGGTTTTCCACATAAAATTATTGATTTTTCCCCTACAATTTTAGGCTAGTTTTCTACTGTTGTATAATCCTAACGAATACAATTATATTAAGTTTATCACATTAATATATATTGTAAAGTTCCATGATTAAAAAATGAGGAAAAATGTAAAATATAAATTTCCGTTAGCGACAATCAGATCAAGAGTGTAATTTAAATGGGAAAGTAATTTATCTGCGTTCAAGCACTTTGGATTTTTTAATCAAGTTTTCAAGGTTATACCCGATTACTGTAGTCATGAATCATCCATTGATCGGTGTAGATTAAAAATTTCATTTGATCGACATCAATTTTAAGCATTAAGCATTTCCGGACAGGCTTTAATTTTCTTGAAAATAGAAAAAGGAAAATGAATTAGAAGTAAACGCTTTATCGCCTGCGTCTTACACATGTGCAAGTAGGAACGCAACTGAAGATAGTGGGATGACATCGATATCATCGAATTTTATGTTTAAAAGCAAATTTATTCTTAACCATATATTTTTGATCAGCATGAGATTCCAAGTTCAATGTATTTCTTTTTATGCTATATATTTTATAGGAATTATCAATTTTAAGATTCAGGAAAAAAGTGCAGGTCTTTGTTAAAATGATTAGTCAGCTTGTGGACGCGCCTAAAAAAGCAAAGAAACTTAATTAACCTTTAATAAGTACAAGGAGCCTTATTTAATAATGTACGATATCAAAGCTATCTGCTTGAAATTCGCATATTTATTATAAACCCTCTGTTACATGCTATAGACTCTCACATGAATTTACATCCACTGTGCTTAAGTATGCACGCCCATAAGTGATTATGTCCACATATATGAATGGCTAGCTGGTTGGTATATATAACAAAGCAAATGTTTTTATCATGCACACACAATTAAAATTAATCATAAAGGGCGTCGTCTCAGTCATATTATTTAACTGAATGAATTTATTAAATTTTTTCTCCTCGTTTCCAACGCATAATGATACGAATTTTAATAGACATAAACTCCTTGTATTCTTTCTTTTGTGGATGTTGCCATTCGCTTACTAGCAATCGTATGCGTAAATAGGTATACGCAGCTTAAGGTACGTAAGCATAAACCTTCTTGTAAATAATTAATGTAAATAATTTATTCAAATATTTACAGATTAATTGCGCGTAACAACCTATAAGATATTTAAGATGGTGAAAATATTGCAAGCGTATAATTTTGCAAAGCAAAATACATTTGCTTTAAATGGCGAGATCTTGGCGGCGACATTGATAGATTCCAACCGCATTGCCATTAGTAGTGCCGAACAATTTATAGAGATTTATGATATTGTCGGACGGACAAATGCTGAAGCTCCACACTGTAGTGGAGGTGGCGAGGGTGGTGACAGTGATGCGACAGCAGAAATCGGTGCTGCAACAATAAACGATGATGATCGTTTGCCTATTAAATACTCTTTAGCCACTGTAGGCGAAGTTGTTAATTTAATATATTGCGAAGCGGGTAAATAAGCAATGGGACATTCGTTTAACCATTGTTTAATAAGTGCGTCTTTTCCAGGAAAATATTTAATTACTTTGGAAAAAGAAAATGTAGCAAGTCCGGTGCATGCCAATTCAACCAGTATTAGCTGCACTAGCAGTAGCAATAATACCGTTGTATACTCGGAGGATGATATTAAGATGTTTGTGCGGGTCTATGCCAATTTTTGGAAGTTTCCTGAGTCTAAACTAATTGACCTTCCCATAACTATACGAATTGCTTCAATGACTACGCCGAAAGCTCCATTAGTTAAAAGCATTGATGTCATTGAGCTGCCATTACGCAGTCCACCAGATTTAATACAATGCTGTCAGACATCGGGCAATGTTATCGTGAGTAGCAAGGAGCGTATATATTTATATGAGTATACTCAGTGCGTGCACGAGAGCACTCAGCCACGATACAAATATATTGACTTTTTGCCATTTAAATTTTTTGTGAATTTGAATTTTGTTCCGTCAAAATTGAATCTTGCCGAAAATGTAATCGCCTGCATGAGCAATCGCTATTGCGTGGCATTTCGTGTAGTGGATGTACTAGCAAGCAATGTGTGTACTGCTGGCGATGGAACAGCAGCTATTCACGCGACAGTATACGATCAGGGTAATTATGATGCGGAAGATAATGCTGATTTGCCAGAAAGTGGAGAAGTTATTTCAAGTTCAGCTTCAAGTATCGTAAGTAAGACCAGTGTGGGTCCATCCAGTCATAGTCACAATAGTTTCGAGACTGATTCATTGGAAACGACAGTCAGTGGACGTTTGCAAACTAGTTTTCCTGGACGTACCGCTATTGATTTCAACGTAGCACGTCTCGTGAACTCTGCTTGCGGTCGCGAATTTGAGGTTGATCTACGGTCTCAATGGGAAATAGGCGATAATGATGGCAATGGCGCCGCTGGTGGTATAAATTGCGGAAAATCGAATATAAATTGTGACACACAGGAGATCATTATTACTCCAACTAGAGCAAGTGAAATCAAAATAAAACTAGTCAACGAGGCTAAAGCAATGAATGTTCAGGTATGAACGTCATTATTTTCCTACAGGAGGATGTTCTAATTTATTTGCAATTGCAGCGCATCTCAAGCAATGGTAAAATTGTGTCCGCCTATAATGAGGACAATATGGTTCAGTATGATATACGCAAACTGTTACAAATATGCATGAAATCATCGGAATCAGGTGGTGGGCGTGTTGTCGACATTTTGCGTTGTATGGATCTCAAAGCAATTTACCAACACTATGACCGTGATTCAGGGGAACTCGAAGACCCTGAATATGAAATGGGCAATCAACAAGTACCTGGAGCTATAACCACATCCAAACACATTAATCGTCGCACTTTAAAATCTCCCAAACACCAAAGTTGCATTGGTTTCGCTTTATTGGTAGCAAGCAGTGTCGATGGTTATTTGTATCAGTTTTGCGCACAGGGTAAATGGTACAATGAAAATGAGAAGCCAATTGCTACCTATTCGTTTACCGCACCTGTTTTACAAGTTCACATTAACGATTACGTTATATATGCGATAACAACTGAATCTGTGGAGACCCATACGTCGCGTGTAGGTCAAAAATTATTTAACAACCGCTTTGAGTATCCCACTTTGGTCGAACAATTCCCCGAAGAATCCAGCCCCGATGTAAATGCTCCCATTGCAGTCATCGGTCTATGCTCGTTTATACACGTGCAATATGTGTGCGTCAATCGCAATAATTTAGTGTTAATTAGTAACGGCAGCGCACCTAGCAACCAAAATAATAACGGGGATAACACTATCACTACACTAAAAAGGAGAAATGCTGCCGGTAGTAATGATAATGGCAAACGTAATATTGCTGCTCGGTTAATAGCCGAAGCCAAAGCAAAACACAACCTGCTGCGCTTAAGTACCTCAAGTCACGCGGTTGTGGTTAACGAGTGGACTTTATATAATCTAGAAGTTCCATTAGTAGAGCATGTAATTGATGATTTAGAAAATATAGCGGAAAGCTATCGATCTGCAAGTAGCAGTAATTTCTATGATCTCATGGAGGAGGCCCACGTAATGCTAAGAATGAGCATTTCTTTGCAATTTGAAAATTTTCACGATAACCGTGAAGCAAAATTACGTAATAAATTTATGGAGAATTGCCGCAAATTGGCAGACTTTTCCATAAGGTCGAAAAAAAAGGAAGTACACATGCAGGCCACGGGATTTTATAAAATGTGCAATCTACAGTTACCAGAAATCTATACAAATTACATTCAGAATTTTCTCAATACAGACGCTGACGGCGATGTGGGTCATCCATCACAGCACGAGTCATTAACACCCGGCGATGATCCTTCAATGGATAGTGAACAGTTGGCTGGCTTAATTTATACCGTAAAATTGTTTCTAATTGATTTGGGTACGGATCGGTTGAAGGCCTCGTTTCTCAATCAATCCGTTAAACCATTTTTTACGCCAAGTCGTGTTATCAAACAAGGCTATACACAGGTGCCTCTTTCACTGGAATTTCTTAATTTGTTTATTAAATATTCCCCAGCGGATATACCACAAGTGATGCTCGATTCCCTTGTCGTGGCCGATTCAATAAGCGGCGAAATTGTTAACTATTTGAAATTTCTAGATTCATTGTAAGTTCCGATTTATTAATTAAAGGTTAATAATGCGCTTATGAACATGATTAGAAGTAGTATTCAGTTTATGAAAAAGCAAATTTAACTTACTATGTCTTCAATTTTAATTTATTCCTATAGAAATGCTGATGAGAATCTACTCTTGGCCGTTACGGCTTGTCGCATGTCTAACTATATAGTCTCACAAGAGGTTGTATGCAAGACTAATAGGCACGATTTGGCCATCGCGTTAATTAAGCATAAAAATGTTCTTTTCGATGATAGCACGCCATTGTATCAGAGGCAGAAACGAGGTAAAGTCACAAAATCCAATGGAGGTGACAATTCAAAATGCTCGCACTCGCAATTGAAGGATACAAGACGCAACTTTATCGGAACCAATCGTCAGCGGGGAAGTTCGTCTGGTGTGGGTGTGTACCCACACTTCAATGAAATTGTTTCGTTCTCTGACTTTACGGAAACCATACTCTTGGCCACCGAAAAGCAAGAATTAATTGAAGCCATTAGTGATGTTTTTATCCACGCGTTATGCGTAGAGCATAGCATCACGTTAGAATGTTTGCTGCAATTATTTTTGAACTTTATAGCTTCGCACATTGGCCAAAAGGGCTATCAGACATCGCAAAAAGTTTTTGTTAATATTTTACAGGTGCGTGATATTGATAAAAAGAAGAGGAAAAAGAGAAAAAGCGATGAAAAGCACAATTATTGCGTATAATTCATTTTCAGGTATATTATTACGACCTCTTTGATGTAAATCCTTCGTGTGGGCATCAGGATCTTCCTTCCCCTTCGCCGCCGCAAATCGATGACGCTTACGAAGAAGGTGGCTTTTCTAAAGCCAATAGCGAGCAGGATACCGAGTCTATAGCCCACTCAAATGCTGAAAGCGTTTCCGCTGCTAGCTCATCCATCGCCGAGGATCGTCGCGCGACATCGCATTACAATCGCATTGTCTACGATCAACTTCAGGAACAACATTCACCGTATAAACGTAACTCAAATGTTTCGCTTCTAAATGGAATAGAAGAACCAAGCAACGCTAGCGAAATCAATTGTAAAGGTTTGAAAATTCTCTTTCGCATGTATATGGGCCGTTTAAAAGCACTAAGCGACCTTATCACGGATCTACAATCAGCCGATGTCGAACAACAGTCTTTACATGAAGATTTCATGAGTTTACGATTGGAGTGCATCGGTTTTATGATGCGCCATTTGCAAGAGTTGCGTCAGGAGCGGCAATATTTACAATCGACAAATCACTTATATTACGCTGGCAAATCGCAATTAATAAACGGTCGTTCCGAAGAACAGAAATTAGTTTTTGTGCCATTTATACCCGATTACAAGTTGAACGGCGATGCGTTTGAGCAACACATGATATCGTATATACGACCAATACCATGCCTGTTGGATCGCCCCCAATATCTGAATCGTTTGCCGCCGTTTAGACGCGGCGATTTCAGTTACCCTAATAAGGATGAAGGCGAGACGGATGTACATTTTGTTGGCTGGCACAACGAATTACTAACTTTGACTCTGAAAATTCAGGTAATGTGGCAAAACGATCACATATACAGTTAGATCTATCTATAATACCCGCAATTTTAGTCTCTATTGGCGTCGACGAAAATTGATCGGGAAATTGTTGAGGAATTCATTGCGTTTGTGCAGAAGACGCCAAATCTGATCGGTATCGATAGTTTCTTGGTAATAGTATTACCCAAAAATTTAGCTATAAACTATATGTTAAGCTTTTGTCCGGAATACTTGTGGCAATATGGCAAGGTATAATAATATGAGGAATATAATCAGCGGTATATAATTAATTAAAATTTTAGTCAAATAACTTCAATCCGAAACAATGGGAGTCGTTGTTGAAAAAGCTAATGAACAAAAAAGATATGCTACCAAATTGGAAAACTCACATAACAGGTAATGTGTGTGTATTTTAACAAAAATTTATACAACATTTTGAAAGATGAACTTTTATTTAAAGAAATTCTTAACAATTTGGCGGCCGATTTGTCATTCGAAGAACTACTACAATGCTTTCCTCCCGATGTGCTGCAAAGTCGTCATAAGAATTTATGGAGTAAAGAGTTTGCTTCTGAGTGTAAGACGACGACTATGGGTGAGGACGGTGGCGGCTTAGCTTGTGAAGTAAGTCAGGATCCTTTCTTAACCACAATAGAGCGTGATCATGTGCCCATGGATAATGTGGATGAAGATAATGTTTTTGAGATGACTTTAAGGAAAGCTGTTGCCAAACAACGCAGCATTGCATTACGATCAATGATAGAGTCAACGGGTAAACAACTATTTGATGCTACCAGCAATCCCATGTATAACCTTTAGATGATTTCCGTCTGTTAAAGATCTCATTTTGCCACACCAAAGTCGGTAAATGCTCTTCTTTTACTCTCTACAATAAGTATACAACGTTAAACAAAGTGTTTGAAAAAAAAAACAAAAAAAAAAAAAAACATTTTTAACTTTCGATTCTAATAGTATATAGATCAAATTTACACAACATAATACAGATGGATTAAAATTAATAGTAGTAAATACCATTTAGTATATATAGAGAAGAATCTGACAGATTTTTATTTATATTGAGAAAAATACGCATTTACAGTCTCTTCAGAAATTGTTGATATGTTTGAAAAATTCGAAATATATTTTTAGTCAATATGTTTAAGGTAATTTTATAATTATGGATTTTATATATATATATATATATGTATGGATTATGTGTACACGCACAAATTTTATTTAATTTCTAACAATGCGTAACTCTACGACCATAGCAATTAAGCAATACTTTAGCAAAAACATTTTATTTATTTATTTTTATTTATTTATTATTATTTATTCATTTTTTCTCGTATTATTTTATATTATATACATATATATATTCAAATTTTATTTTTGATTGATTTATTTTAATGATTATTTATTATGCAATGAACCTCTGCATACAATAGTATTATAAGCAGCGTAGATAAAGAACCAAGTGACTTCTTACGAACGAATGCAGCAGGAGAAACGACTTTCTTCTACACTATGGCTGATTATGTTGATTTACAAAACAAACAAAAAAGAAAAACAAATTATTTATAATATTTATAAAGTGATATTTAAAATTTTTAATAATGTAGTGAATTTATTTATTTATTTAACTGAAATGGAGTTCTTAATTAAAGTTCATATCAATAGACGAATAGTTGTATCAGTCGAAAGAGCTTGGTCAGGTCATAACAATGTATCTCAGATATATTATATTTGTGATTAATTTAGGTCAGGACATTGTAATCTTTCTGGCAACTGTGAAGCAAATAGATAAGATCATCTGATCGCTTTCGTTTCCTTTACGTCATTTCATATCCGTATCAGAGAGACTGTGGTTACAATTATCAACCACGAGTACTTCACATCATATCAAAAAGATTTGCTCTACAATGAATAAGAAGAATGCGAACACTTGACCAGACTCTAATAATCGTTAGTATACATATAGCACGTGCGGAACTTTGTTTAACTACCCAAAAGAAGATATTTTCCGAAGGACGATATTTCCAGAAACCATCAAGCCTAGAAGGAATCTCAGTCTTCTTGTCACTAAAACCATATATATATATATATAGGTGAAGTTTTTCCTTATACATGTCACAGGGACATTATAGATCAATTAAGAAACGCAGTCCGTCAGACAAATTGAAGCTAGCGAAATGCTTACGATTTTCAATATGGCGGTCTTGGAAGTCGAAAGAGCTTAGTTTACCAGCTTTTTATTATCACTGAATCTTTTATACGTTTTTCTTCATTTTTACACATCCTAAAGGACAAAATTGGTTAAATGGACAACGGAGAATAATGACTCAGCAGCAATTGATACATGAATGCAATTAAACGTTGAGCTTCTTTATGCATGCAGACTTACGCAAGTAAAGTAAAACTCCTATGGTCTATATTTAACACTCTAGCAAGGCTATATATCGCTTTGATTTTTTTTTGTAAAACTGATTCATTTTTGTAGTGATTGGCGCATTGGAGCGAGGCATATTTTGCTTAAAAATTATCGACTAAAATATCGACTTGTAAACGTGCGTCAGTACCCCTTTCGGTTTTTTTTCCCCGCGCAAAAGTAAACAATTTCTCCTAGAGCTAGATTTTTATTTGTCGATTTGTGCTTTTAGTGGTAGAATAAAATAAATAATTTACTAGATTTACATAAGAAAAGATTTTGGCATTTCCTATATCTCTATAGATACTTTTTACTGAATATAAGTTTGAGCTTTAAGTCCTTGACTTGTGGCTACACGGTTTCCCGTGATCTACAGATGGGCCATTTTCTATTGAAGCGGCCATTGTCTGTTAAAACGGTCATAACAGAGTGGCCACTTTCGTTAACACAGCCAATCTGTTAAAAAACCTCCAAAAAATCTATTAAAGTAAAGAAGAAAACATAGACAAGAAAGTAAACAAAAAGAAGCAGAAAAAAGAGAAGTAAAAAAAGCATCAGTGTCAATTAAATTTTGTTTATACAAATTTTGTTATATCCGCCACTCTAAGATCGGGGTATACTCATTTTGTTCCAAAATATATGTAACAAACAAAACGAAGCTTCAGACACCCTATAAAGTATATATATTCTTGATCAGCGTGAAATTCTGCGTTGATTTAGCCACGTCCGTCCGTCGGGTCGTCTGGTCGTCTATGCGATGTGTGTTATTAAAGATGTCCACTTCAAATTTGAAAGTGAAGTGAAAACGAAAGTTTCTGCACGCACGTTGGTATTGAAAATGGACGAAAAATTGGTCAGAGCAAAAGCGCGTAATTGAGCGTAAATTAAACACAACTTAGGTTTTTTAATAAAAATTTTTGGAATTTTGCTCGTTCTGTAATCACTCGGCCATGCCCACACAAAGCTACTAAAAACTAAATTTAATTTTTTTTTTTAATTTTTTGACATTATATGCTTATTTATCACAAGACAAAAAAGAGAGAATGTTTAAAACTATTTTGTACATTTCTCAAATGCCTAAAAATGGGCTAATTTCAAAACGAATATTGTAGACACCACGATTAATCTTTTTTAATAACACTAGCAATAAGGGTGTCAAATAAAAGAGCTTGGAAGAATGTTTCCGCCCCCGTCGAATATAACTTTCTTACTTGTTTTATAATACTTGAGAGCATATTTGCGGGCTAATTTCGGAACGTTTAAATAACGTTTATGTCTATTAAAATTCGCATGTTTAATTTTCGATCGATTTCTTGGGAGAGATTACAAAATATGATGCAATAATAATAGGTAGGTTATCTACAGACCGGTTTATGCTTCAAATGGTTGATTAATGCCGGCTTTCATTAAAACTTCTAATAATTTTTAGTCGTGCGAAAATAGTTGATTGAAAAAGATTTCTCGCGTAGTTTCATTGTATAAGGTATGGAAGATTTTATTTTATAAATAAATAGATTCTTCACGTCTGCCGAGGGAAAATAAAGTTCCATATGCATTTAGACAAGTTGAAGAATAATTTATATCATGACATGGGCTTGACTACACACAGCAAAGTCTTTTTTTTTACGTATTAGTATCTGTTGTATTTTTCATGAGTTCTTACTTACAATTCAGGTGTTTGGTTGGTAAATTTCCGCCAGAGTGCGTTATTATATCAAAGATACGAAATTTTTCGACATTAACAATCCTTATCATTTATTTATTATTCAATGGCGATGAGGAGAGCAACTGTATGTATTAATGAAAATCTTTCTTGCGAAGTGGAATACATATTTCACTTTAGTGGTAAAATAAGTACAAATCTTCCATACAGTGATGTTATAAAAAGTGCAAAATAATACTATTTATACTGTACATGTGTCAATTGTTTACATTTGTAGAAATGAAAAAAAAAAGTATAAAACGCTTTCTTACCAAGAGAAGCTTTGAAGCTTAAGTTTTCTGTAATGTGTGTGTAAATGAGAATTTATTCGTTTTAATATATTCAAATTAAAAGAGGGGCTTTTATGTCTTGATACTGTAAACTCATCGCTAACTTGCGCTTATGTGAAAATCGACTATTTCAAGCAGTTAGTTTGGGCTTTTGTACCAATTTTATCATAAACTGCTAGGCATCAGACATTCTGGGAATGGCTTCTTTCTTGTAAGAATGTCAAAATTGATCTTAGTGATTCAGATTTTTCGCACTCATTTAGTACGATTAAATATTAGTTTTCAACGATCCTAATTGAGAAATATTTAAAATGCGTTGTTTTTTTCGTACAGCGATTTCTTTAAAATAGGAGGTTATATGGAAAGTGGTGATAAAAGTGGCATGATCCAAGTTATTTCTAATAGCTCTGCTCAACTTGGCTCAACACAAAATTGCGGCTTGTAGTTTGAATACATGAATACATTGAGAGGCAGCGAACGGACGGACAGACGGACACACAGCCGCATTTAATATGATTTAGAAGGAAGTCGGAAGTCTAGTAAAAGTCCTTCAAACCCTTTCAATGTTGACTAGACATTGCATGCATTCATACAAATTTAATACACCTTTAGTACAGGAGATGTAGTGTATAAAAATGACGAACTATTATGGTCAGAATTTTTGGAAACGCAACCAGAGGGAGAAAGTGAAACATTCAATATCATTTAATTATTGTTGTTTTCCGAATGTATGAGAGTATTGTCGGGATTCACAATTTTTGCTTATTAAACTTAAGAGAGTGTAACAATACTTTCAGAAAGGTATACAAAAGTTAGGAAGTATGACAGCTTATAGAATTCAACATAACTGCGAAATTTCTGCATTTTAATTTGAAAGTTTTTCTATGAATATTTTTCTTTTTCTTCAGCTGTTTCGATTTTCTATTCTGTCTGCCGCATAGGTAAACGAATCCTTCATTTTCATTAAAGACGAAGAATGATTGATACCGAACTTAATGAAGAGTCCGAGGTACGGGATAAAGAGATCGCTAACGAGAGCAGTTTGGATGCTATACTCGTTCGTATTGGAGAATTTGGACGTTTTCAGTTGTTCAACTATGTATTACTTTGCTTCCCCATGATTTTCAACGCTTTTCAATCTATTTCTTATGTTTTTACAGCAAGTTCCGTCGTTTATAGGTACATGCGTTTGTAAATATGCTTATAACAGTCAGCGATGAAACTGTTGCAATTTTCTTTGTTATATGAAAGCTTGTTTGTATGAAGCAACTTTTCCTCCATTAAATAATTGACAGCAATTTTGCAAGGGATTGATATGTTTTGAAAATTGCCGTATTTTTTGGACTATAAGACCCACCTTTTTACATAGCACGCAAATGAACTCAAATTTTGGGTACATCCTATGGCGCGAAGGTAACATTAAAATATTTTTTTAATAAATCGTCTTTTAATTTGGGATACGTGTGATACGCCAACAACAATTCAGATGCAAGTCATACGAACGATGACATTAACAAGACGAGAGTGAAGATGAACTGAATACTGTCAGTACAAGTTAGGTTAACAATAAATTAAAATTTTTTTCCAAAAGTAATATTAAAATATATTTTTTTAAAAATCATCTCACAAATTTGATGTGCGTTTTATAGACCGAAAAACACGGTAACCCAAACTTTGAGATTATTTCTGCTTTATTCTATTTGCAACGTTTTGAAATTTTCTTATAACTAAATCACAACACCTTTGAAAAATCAATATTAAGTATGGAATAAGATAAGCACATCTGATGAATATCCGTTCGCATGAGTAGGGCTTTCTAGGAGTACAAAATTTGGAAAGTCTAAAAATTTGAAGAATCATAAAAATCCCACTAAAGGCCGTCTTCAATAAGTTAATTTCAATTTAAAAACTCAATCAAATCTCTTAAATTGAAAGTTTATTAGCAAACGGATCTTTTAACTAAATCTTAATCTTAACTAAAAGTTATTGTGACTGAATATGATCACATACTGAGATTGACGTTTTTGCCGTTTGTGAATTTTTATTCACAATTTTTCTTCGTCTATTTGCTGTTGCCTTGGACTTGTTCCGTCAGTTCAAGGTTAATTGAAAGAAATTTTACAGCAAAAATTTAAATATTAGTTTTAGTGTTAACTGGAAGTTAGAGTTTTCTAACTTGCAATTTAATTTTTGATTGAAAACACCTCTAAGAGACCCAGGTCCGTTTCAAACCGATCTGTCTGTTAGTCATTTTAGAAGAGTTCTATCAAAATGTTAGAAATGAAACCGCAGGTTAATATAAAGCAACCCACAAAAGAACTCATTCAATATAAGTCAAATAATATCCTATGAGAGGAAAATCAATGATGAACGACATCGTACAGATGAGATTTCACTTTTGTTTAAAGCTTAGTTTTAGGGTGAATATGATTTTTCTCAAGTCTAAGCTTTCAAATATTAAAGTCAACACATCTATGGACTGTAGCAGCAACTGTTTTGTCGTTGGTTGGAAGTAGCAATACATGTGAAATAATTATTTTCATATCCAAATTTATATGCAACATATATACAGATGCAATGTAACATTATGCGATAGCGCCAGAAGTGAATATTGGGAGCCGTGGTTGAATTTCACAATACCATCTATTAATTCCAATTTCGATCAATGTCATCGCTACGCTATTATTCATAGCTCCGATACGCAGCTGAAATGTTCTGCGGAGAACTTTAACAGTTCACAGCTGGAGAATTGTTACGATTACAAGTTTCGAGACCTAGAGTACACAATTGCTAACGAGGTGAATCCAGTTAACTTATAAATATTTAAGCATATATATCTCTTTCATCCTGCGGCTGACTGCTTATATTCAAAAGAGAAATCTTATACATTTGCAGTTCAATTTCCTTTGTTCTAACGAATGGAAACTAACTATGGCCGGGACATTTAATAATATCGGGCAATTTATTGGCATTCCATTGGGTGGTTTATTGGCCGACAAGTAAGTAAAAACAAAAAACGTTTCATATATAAATATATATATATATATTTGTTTACTGCATCCAGTGTGCGGTTTTCAATAAATATTTAAGTTGGAGTTTATATCAAAAGTATTTCAGAACATCCAGTTAGACTTTAACTGGCGCTTTAATGTTACCATACAACTTCTTCTAGTTAGCTACGAACGGGTGGAATGAATAAAAGAAAACAGCTGATAACACGAATCATCTGATTGGTAAAATGAAATAACAAAACTCTATAAGAATTCTTTGCACGTAAAAATAAAAAATATTAAACGATAAGAGCGATGGATGGGCAATTCGCCCATTTCCTAAATCGCTTTAATAAATTTAATTCTTCAAATAACCATAGATCACCTACCGCTTATCTCTTTTGAGCGTCGTTTTCGCTCTAAAAGTCTTTACTTGTTCCACATTATCATTTGGATGATTGTAGAGAAAATTTATTTTAGAAGAAGGCAAAAAAGACAAAGACAGAAATAGTCGGTCCCTCGACTCGGACGATGACGGAAGTCACCTGAATCGTATTTCGTTGAAAGTTGTCCTTTGCCAACCTTACCGTACCTCAAGCAGAAATACCTCAATAATCAACTTATTACTAGCTTAGCCTAATCCTCCCCCAGCAAGACAGAGGATATATGAGGTCAAAACGGGAGACGACTTTCACTCCTCACAGTACATATTTGCTAAAAAATAATTTAATGTTTCGTTCACAGGAGGCAAAAATCACAGTGTGTAACATTTCTGTCATAATAATCTAACTAGCAATTAATAAACTACACCTAACTCTCTTTCTTCATGATACGATACGTTCCCAAAAATTTGTGTAAAAAAGATATTGGCTGAACAGGAAAATAATAGATTGGTTCTAGACCTAAAAAAGCGACTGAATAGTACAATAAAGAATATTAAAAAAATCCTTTCAAATTTTGTGTTAAAAAATTTCGTTTAAAAAAGAAATAAAATGACTTTACTTCTAGTCGTCACCGAGTTAGTTAACTTTTAGCTTAAAATAACGTGTTCTTAAAGTAAATATAAACGAATTGCAGTTTCATCTGGCTTACCACTTTCTATTAGAGAGTCTTCCGGTTGTAACATTCATTGATATTGGGGTCTGAAACAAGGATTGCGCGAAATCAATGCCAACAAATTATATCATCAAATACATAAACCTTTATTCTATCGCTAAAAATCGCATCTGATCGCATGAGAGATATGAAAAAACAACAAGCTTTTATTGCCTTATATCGCTTGCAATAAGACTAAACTAAATTTTTTCTTATGTGTTTAATAACTAGAGGGACTTGAGGCAGTTCCAACTTCTATTATATCGATCGATTTACAATAATTTTTTGAATTATTTCAATTTTAATATTTGTCCGTCTGTTGTCTGACGTCTGTGCCTTGTTCTTGTATGAAAACTATGTGGGGTATGAAGATTTTTGAAAAATTAAAAGTTAGCATCAGAATGAAGAGCAACTTTTAATGTTCTATGGTGAAAATGGACTTGGACTAGTGATTCGACATATGAAATTACGGTAATAAATTTGTGCGTAAGGGTTCTGTTGAAGAAAGTAAGCTTTTGTGACGTAAGTGACGTAGGATGTTTAATGTAAAATTTTCATTTGTTTTTTGATAATTTGCGACTCATCAGCAAATTTCTTGTCAATAGGTCGTTATCAGTCGTATACAATTCTCATGTTGATCAAAAAGATTTAATACAAATATACTATGATACATATCACCTTTAACAAGCATATTTGTTGCCTTTGACTTTACAGATTTGGTCGTCGAACAATGCTGGCTATTGGAGGCTTTTTAAGTTCAATTATGGGCTTAATTAAATCGTTCGCAACGAACTATGGCATGTTTCTCACGTTCGAAACGTTCGACATGATTGTAGGTAGTACCCTCTACCCAACCGCATTTCTTTTGGCTATTGAGTTGGTGGGGCCGAAACGGCGTGTTGCAGCTGCCACAATTATTACCATGTTCTATCCATTAGGTGAAGTTCTGCTGGGCGTATTCGCGAAACAATTTCACAATTGGCGAATACTTTTACGCGTTCTGTACGCACCGGCTATCTTACATATATTTCTACTAACACTTTTACCGGAGAGTATCCGTTGGCTGCTGAGCCAAGGCAAAGAAGGCAAAGCCGTTGCAGTGTTGACAGAAGCCGCACGTGTTAATGGCAAATTTATACCTGAATTAAATCTTGTCAACCTAATGGAATCGAACAAACAGAAACTGGAAGATAACGCTGAGGAGATTTACCCAATTAAAGATGCTATCAAAGTTTTTTTTTGGCGTATAGCCAATTGTTCATTATGTTGGTTCACGCATACACTAATAGCATTGGGCTTAAGCTTGACTTCCGTTAATTTAGGAGGCAACAAGTATAACAATTTCATATGGAACGGCTTAATACAAATTCCTGGTCTTATATTGCCACTCTTTATCATGGATACCCTGGGACGACGAGTATCATTGTTCGCTTCAATGCTAACGTGTGCCTTATGTATGGCAGCGACAATATTTTTCGCCAAATGTATGTATTTTGTAATGATACTGTCAAGCTATTTTCACTGAACCTTTTTATCCCTCATCGGATACTACAAAATAAGTTTAATCCTCCTATTGCTTATCAATACTATTGGATTAGTTACGATCAGATCATATCACGATAATGCAGCAAAGTACAAAATTTCTTGATCGTCGCTGTCTCTTAAGTTAATATATATTTGGACGGAGTTTTGTGTTTAGGTGCAATTGAAATTTCGTATAGAGTTAGTCCGTTGTTACAATATATTCAAAAGAAAACGACTTGGGCATATTCTCCATGTCAAGGAGCATCCCGGTCGTTACAAGCTATTTCACCTTTTTATATGTATATATATATAGTGTATTTTTGTAAATACTTAAGTAACATCTTATAGTGATTTGATTTCTATACTCTACACCACCTGTGCGGACGCATGCAGCATCCAGAAGGATGTAAGGCAGATCCACCTTCTATCGATTTAGAATCGATCCAAGTCTGTCTGTCCATCCATCCATCCGTCCATCCGTCCGGCTTGTTTTCTTGCATTCAACCTACAGGCCCAAAGGCGAACGCTATCGAAAATGCTTCGGATCGGCCGACTGTTCCGACCACTTTCAGTGCAGGCGTTTATTATGTATCACTGCATTTAGCGTGTCCCACTACAGCGTTATTACTAGTTTTGAGAGTGAATTGTGCCTATGTGACATACATACGTTTCTAATATCTCTTGACGTCTTCATTCAGTTTAAGCGTATGCTACAGCGACATTCCATTACATTCATTGCATGCTAACGCTGTATGAAAAAAAAATGAAAAAATATATTCTGATTGTATGCGAGAATTTTGAATGTGATTCGAATTCGCCAGCATGCGTCATCAGATCTCGACGTTTCTTATGCAAAAGAGTTCAACTTTTTCCAAGCATATTGACTGACTGTCGCGGACGTCATCGAATTTTTATTTTTTTTTGTTTTTATTTTCGAGAAAAATGGGACGAACTGCAACGAGACGTGGGAAAATGTCTTGTAGCTGGGAAAAGAAAACCTTATGTATATGTAATCCTTGTTGGTCATGTTTAGATCTAAGAATTGCCATAAATAACGTACATCTAAGTGATGGATATCTAAGGTTCAGTGTGAAGCGCGTATAGTTTGATTTGTTTAAAAGCATTTTTAATACATTTCTAGATGGTCAGGGTGTAGAGTTGGCTTTATTTCTAATTGGAAAATTTGCTATTACATGCAGTTTTCAAATTTTATAATTTTTCACTTCGGAGATCTTTCCCACCAAAGTGCGGAACAGTTTATTATCTTTGTGCTCAATGATTGGACGCTTCGGCTCAATGCTGGCCCCTCAAACTCCGTTATTGGTAAAGTATATACACGAATGCATGCCGTGATAAATAATTCATTTTAAAGCTTATTATGTATTCGTCAAGGTTAACTATTATGAATTTTCACCGCAAATTTTGTTCGCATCGTTTGCTTTAGTAAGCGGATGTTTGACGCTTCTTTTTCCGGAGACGGCTAATAAAACTTTGCCGACTACAATGGTTGAAGCATCCCAACTAAGCAAAAATGTTAATCACCGCAAATGTAACGATAATTAATTTGATTGGTTTTCATAGTTGCACTGTTTATATGTTGTAATTACTTATATGTTTTACGAGTTAATGTACAATTTTTTTCATTTTTTTTTTTTTTTTTTTGTGTTTATAATAAATGTTTGTTTTTTTTTTTACGTTGATTGTAGAGACATGTATCCAAGTATTGTTATGCTTTGTAATGAACAAGCAGCAATATTAATATAATTATTTCCTGTATCCCTATAAACGCCGGCACAGATCGTATTATATCCTTTTATATGCATCACCGAAGGACGAGGGGTATATTTAGTTTGTCAAACCGATTGCAACGCCCAGAAGGAAGGAAGCATCACAGACCCTAGAAAGTATATATATATTCTTGATCGGTATCAAATTCTAAATCGATATAGACATGTCCGTCCCTCCGTCTGTATAATGATTGTTGCAAAAATAAAGTCATCGACTCCAAGTTTGACTGAAACATTGGAAGTTCTTGCACGGAGGTTGGTATTGAAAATGGGTCAAATCGGTTGGAGGATACATTCACAGCACCGCGAAAACTGAGAACACCTTTGTTTCTCAAGAGGAATAAAAAGTTGGTTTTTTGGTTATACCTCAAAAACTATAGCGGAGAGCGAAGCGGTGCATCACAATGGATTTTTTTTTTTTTTTTTTTGTATTGTCAAGTTCATATGTTTATTATTATCTTACCATCGATTTTATCAGTAAACAACAAGCAATGGAAAACATGTATGCTGCATGTAATTTTCATTTACGTTCACTTTATATTCAGTTGAAGCGTTCGTCTTGCAAAGCGAGGAAGCAGGGTTCTTCTCACATTTTTTTTTTGTTTCTCTTTAAATTGTACGATTGCCGCACGGAATATCTTATATAAAATCTATCTATGTCAATGAACGTCGATGATTATTTAAGTGACGAGATTTTTAATAAAAATCGGTCAGTGTTCAATAATATAATATTGAGTGTCAATATATTGATGGAAAAATATTTTTATAAAAATCAATTTATTTTTATTCTTTTTGTAGTAAGAATAGAGAACGGCCGCCGCTATGGGATTCCTTTCAGGATCCACCATCCAAGCGAGCTACGGGTTCGGCGGCCAATTGGTCGAAACTTGGTGTTGTACTTAAAATATTTAAAACTTTAACATATTTGTTCGTCTTTGTGGTTATGCTGGGCACAGCAGTTATATCAAAAGTTTCGTTCATCTTCATGGCGGCTCAGATCAGTTTGAGAGATAATGTAACATATTGTCAAACTATTGGTTCGTGTTTCCAATTGTTCTATTGTTTCTAATTATGAAATAACGGTAACATAGTAAGATAACTGATTGAAGAGATTTTAACGAGAAGTAAAAGGAGTATGTCTTTGACTAGATCTCCAAGTAGATCTATATGTAATTATTTGTCTTAAAAGAGAGACTTTCTGAGTGTTCCCGAGCGCTCTTTCCTAACTATTTTTCTTAATCGAGAGACAGACACAATTAATTGAACGTTTATACTGATCCAGAATCCGTTAAGTGGTAATATTTACAGGACTTAAGTCCTGTAGGCATAGAGTTATTTTCATAAGTAAATGAAAACTTTCGTTATACATAAGACGTTTCCTTCTGCATTTTTCAAAAACAACGCGGACACTTGGCGGCTCTCGAAAGACTATCTTTCTTCCGCCTTGGCTTCCAATGCCGAAACGAAAAACGAATGACCATTTTTCGAAAAACCGAATATTCATTTATTCGAAAGTTTCTACGTTACATAGTGGAAGTCCTTATTTCAAGATTGCAATCAAAATTTCAAGGTAATCAGATGGCAACTACAACGCGCCAGCATGCTTAAGAAACCCGATTTCGAGAAAAATACCTTCAAATTTCAAAATTCAATTTTGTAAACATTGTTTGAAGACATGCAATTAGTTTAATGGCTTTTTGTATTATTTGTCATATTCCGAAAAATTATCTGCTCAGACCATTTATAATATGGCCGGCCGCCTCTCTAATCATCTCTTTTTTTGTTGAATGATTTGTGCATAATTTAGTTACCATATGCTATGAGCTCGAAAGCTTGTTTTTTGTTTTCTTAAAGAAATACATGCAGCATACACACACTACATACAAGCATAAGCAGTAGTTGCTTTCCAAATGAAGAGTTTATTTGGCTTTCGCTGTATTAAAGAAATGCGGGCATATATATAGTCAATGCGTGAGCTCTATATGCACTATATATGCGCAAGCATATGCAAATAGTTTGTTTTCGTTTATATAGTTGATGAATATGTTGATGAGATATCAAATATAATTCTTCTCATTGCATGCATCATTATATCCTGCACTACTTTGTATATAGGGTTTATTAGGTTTGTGCGGATATATGTAATATATTGATGGATTCAGAATCATTTTCTGATTCGATTTAAACGTGTTTGCCTATGCACTTCTGTTGTTCGAGAAAATTTAGTAAAATTAATGTGTTCTTCTCTCTGGGACAAGGACGAACGCTACTGCATAAAAACAATTTATTATTATATGTAAGTACGCATAATATATGCATCTAATAGGTGCTTGCATTAGTTTTGATCATTTCTTCGCTTGAGAAAAGCATTTATTGAGAAAAATTGTCTACAAATTCTGGTAATCCGTGCTTGGCAGCGATCCAATCATCGATCCGATTTTTGTGCTTCTTCAACTTCGGGTAGCTGCGTGCCAGCCATGCCATACTGCATCGATGTGAACAAGTGATATTCTGGTGAGTTCATCGGGTGTGGCAGAACTTCCTAGTCGAGCTACAATAGTGTATCCTTGAGAACACTTGCAATAAGTGGCCAAAACGATATTTTGAGTTAATTCGTGTGCTGGTAGTCATTTCAGTCGTTATTGCTTTTGGTGTATTTTGCAACAGTCGGTACACATCTGCAGGAACAATTTCATTCGATTTCAGCAACTCGTAACACACTAAACCTTGCTGATCCCACTATACGCATAGCAAAATGTTATGGCCATCAATGTACCGTTTCGGTGTCGATGTGGATGGCTCTCCTGGACTAACCCACAACTTTTTGCGCTTGCGATTCGCGTAGGAGACCCGATTTTTATCGCCAACCACAGTACGGCACCGGAAACTCTGTCCTCTTTTTTGCTTGTGAAGCAATGAAACCTTGAAATGAATATCGAAAATGCTCGATGATTAGCGCCTGTATACACTGAATACGCACACATGGAATACACTTTCATATCATTTGATCTTTTGTTATTCGGCCCGGCTTAATGGAAACGACTATTAGGTTTTGTTTTTTGTCGTGAATCGTAATTTTTTTTTTTTTCTTTTTTTAATTTTTGAAGCAAATTTATTTGCAAATTCCAAATTCAGTTCCAGCTATTAAGTTTCTGGCATTTGGTCTGCCTAGCAATCTACAGGTCTGTGGAGAGCAAAAATTATTGTCGCAGAACTGTCGCACGTACGAAAGGAATTGTTATATGCATAAGATCAGAAATTAAGGAAATCGAATAAAACCTTCCAAAGGACGCAAGTCTCTGTAAAGAAACGAAAATAAGTCACGTGCGAAAGCAAACGTCTTGCATGTACGTATGTGTGCTGTGTGTAACTTTTTAATAAAATGGAAAAACCATTTCCTAGGAAATAATATTGAAAAGTGAAAAAGAGTTCGTTCCTGCGCCGGCTCCTGATTCACCTTCTGATAGCTTTCTTAATAATTTTATCTTAAATGAGTAAAGCTAACGAGTGAAAACTCTGCTGTCATGCACTCTTTTCGGTTAAGGTCATTCAAAAAACAAGTAAGAATATTATAGTTGGACAACGCCGTCTATTACATACCCTACACCACCTCGCCCAATAAAGTTATTCACTTGTTTTGGTAATAATACTCCAAAAGGTGCACATTATTTTCACACAAGGCTAAATTTTCTATCCAAATAGGAGATTGGGTTTCGTAATAGCGCCTATAAATATACCTATCTGATCCACATTCACTACCATTAATTTTTTTGCTGAAACGCATCATAGATTATCAAAAATTAATTCTTTTCCCGACGGACTTCCTATTCATGGTACATCTTATACGGAGTAGAGCCAAGAAATAGACCCATGTACTTCCAATTAGGTACAATTTTAATTTTTTTTTTTTTAATTATTATCATAAACAAATTTTGATACCAAAAAATTTAAATATTAGGCTTTTTTGGAATAAAAGGGTTAACGTTTCGTGAGAATCTTTATATGCGGTGATAGCCAAACAATAGAGGTATCTTGTCCAAATTTGGTAAGATTTCTTTTTGAATTTACTATTACGGGCCATGAAATATTGGAAATTCCGTACCACATAAAGATTCAATTTCCGTGAGGACGGTTGGGTGAGAGCAGACTCAAAAGAGTGCCGCAACTTGTCCAAACTTTTCACATCCATTCAGAATGCCGAAATAGGACCACTTGGCCACTTTTGCCGAGAAATTTTCAAAATTGCAATTTCTCCCCATATAAAGACTTTTCTGAATACGGCATTATATAGGAAGTGGTCGACAAAGTGGACCGACCCAAACCATTTTCAATAGATTTCGTCCTTGGGCCAAAGTACGTCCAGGTAGTACCAAATCTCGTCTATGACGTCTGTGCCGCAAAATATCTCAACGATTGCAAAATGCAGCTTGAAAACAAAAACGCATGGGCAGATACCAGCCAAACGGACAGACAGACAGGCAGATAGGCTAAATGGTTTACAAAAAAATGTTTACTGCTTTTGTGCATAGGCGTGTGGGCGTTGTAGATGACTTCGTTTGGGTCATTTTCAAATGCAAATTTATTTGCCAGTTTGTAGGCGATATGTTTATCACAGATACTACACAACTGCGCAGGCGAACAGATGGACGAGTAAATCGACGGGCATGCTCAGGTGCAAGAATTTGTATACTTTGGGGGTTTTTGAAGCTGGCCTCTGCGCCCACACGTGCATGCACCAAAAACTGTGAACACCTTTGCTTTCCGTGTTTTTCCGCTTTTTATTCGTACCGTACAACGCGTACACTGTATAAATTTCTGCTTTTGTTCTGCAAATAGAAAAAATCAGTCCCGCCCATCCAATATTTGAGAGTATGAAAATTTAGTGCTCTTTTTTTTTTTTTTAGTCTTTATTAAGGTCACCATAATGGGTATAAAAGATTCGGTCAAGATTTGTTTTCATTTCAAATTAAAAGTATTTAAGCTATTTTTTGATCCCGCTATATTCCTTGGAATTTCTGATTTTTATCGGCGGGACAATTGGTGAATTAATATTCTCAAGTTTTACTTTCAGTAAATAGTTTCGTAATTTTATGAAAATTCATTTCATCTATCATTTAGAACCAAATGAAAATTTTGAAGCAAATCTACCGACGGTTGAACGAATCACTTGGATTTGGGCTTTGATATTTTCATTTGCGGCACCAGAAGTATTTACTTTTTTCCGTTCGTTACGTATCTGCGTATTTAAAGACGTCAAATCGCCAACATGGCTCGAAGTAGTTTTGGTAATTAATTGCGATCCGAAATTTTTACTTCGTTAACATAAAAAATTTGCTTTATTTTCATTTTCTATTCTTTTAAGGTTATTGCATTTGAACTGTTGCATGTGGCCGGCTTGTCAGTGCTCATATTTTACGTTTTCCCGCGCATCGATTCAATTCGAGCTCTATTTCTCTGTAACGGCGTATGCTTTATACCATCTGTATTGAGTAAGTTGATCTCATCGAGTTGAAACAACAAAAATGGGGATTCATGCGAACCCCAAATATCAACCATATTAGGCATACCTTTATATATCTTATTACTCGAACGTCAATGTGTTTTTCTAATAAGAATACGAATTTATTTTATATATCTGCCCATTGATTTATTAATGCTCTTTAAGGATTCCCGCATTCGTACTTTACATAGCCTGTTTTGTTTAGACAGCGTGCTCCTATATATAAAATCCAATCGTCCGTTAATGCTATGTTATGTTATCTAATCAGTATATCTGCTAGGTCTCTAATCTACCCATTCGCGTACTCGTTTTAGGCTCAGTAACCTAAAGAAGAATTGAACCCTGAATTGCTATCATAATCACTTTTGATAAAAGTGATTAGTGGATCTTCATCCACTGTTTTGTTAAGAATCGATAATGGCATCGATGATCTAGTTGCTACGGATCGGTGTTAACTTAGTCGATGGTCTAAAGGTAGCAGTTATTTTCTTCAAATCGCTCGAGTTTATTCAAAGGAGTACTGTTTTGTGATAAGTCCTTTTAATTATTTGCGCTTTTAGTTAGTTATTCAGGATTACAACAATCCGATCTATAGTTAGCAGTACAGTGCAGTGCACTAACGTTGCATTTTCCGTTTAAAGTTTTTGTCCATTTATCGATGCGCTAGCTTAGTTATGTTATTTATGCTTCTGTGCTTCAATGTCTATCCGGCGAGTATTTAATGCGTGTTGTCTTCTTATAGATATTTTAATGGGAACCAAAATTCGGGGCAAATCTATAGCCGTTTATTCAATTAGCCTTTTCGCTTTAATAGCACAGGCCAGCACATTTGTGGTGTGGCCCGTAATTAACGAGTCAATGGCAATGCAAATATTAGTGGTGCCCTTGATATTAATATCGTTTCGTTGGTGGGAGAATTACATCAATTCATATTCCAGCATAGGTAAGTAAATGCGCATTCGTACATATGCATGAGAGTGAGTTACTTCTATTTATTTATTTTTTTTTTTCGGCATAAACGGAATATCATCAAGTCGTTATCATGTGCTTTTTATTCAATTTCAGTCAATTTAATTAAGTTGGTACGTCGCACTAAGTCCCGTTATCACACATACTTATATTTGTCGCCGGTAAAAATTCTGGTGTTTACATTGACGGCATTCGCATTGACTGGTCAACCAATGGAAGAGTACCTCACAAAGTTTACACAAGCATGGAAACCTCATGACATTGTAATTAAAAAGGTAAAATAAGAGTTAAGGGTTAAAAACATACCAAAAAAAAAAAGAAAAAAAAAAAAAAACATATTCAGTTTACAATGAAACTTTCTCAACCCTATGCTCAGGTTATTCAGGTCAACTTCTTTCAGTTGTTAGATAGAGAAGCCAGTCATTGCGAAGTGATTACTTACTTGTATTCCGACAAATATTTATGAGATTGTTCGAATGTTTTACTGAAGGTTTATACAAGGTGAACATTATCGTTTGTAGGTTAATAGTCTGCTCTGCTTCTCGTTAAAGCTTCAATATTGTGGTCTGTTAGCAAAACTCATCAACGATTAATTGAAATTCCAAAGAAAAATTTTTTTCATTTTTTTCCATATCATTGCGTGGGGATGTGTTTATCTTTCATTTTAAGGCTTCTCGACTGCCACTTCATATGTAAGTAATAATTAACGTGACCTTATGTGGCATTGAAATTCATTTTCCTAACAAGTTACATTTGCTACACGCCAGGCTGCCTGTACGCTCGTGCCAGGTGCCAGGTGCCAGGTGGGAGGCGCGTTTGTTTATAACGCGTCGTAATATTTAAAGTATTTGAAAAAGATTTTCTTACCAGCTAACCGCATAAATTGGCTAACCTTAAAGCTACATATGGGTATTAATCGTATCTATAATATCGTAGGGACATCGTTATCGGGAAATCTATAAACAATTGATTTGAATTTAAAACGTATCGCTAAAGGTATTTTATGGTTGAGCATTTCGTAGAGCACCAGGCAGAAACAAGATTTTTTGCGAAAGTTATAACTAAAAGTAAAAAAACTTTTCGAAAATGAAAGGGCTACGCAAACATAAGAGCGAAGAAGGCAAGAAAGAGAACGAGGTGGGTGTATATTGCGTTCAGAAAGTGTGCGACAAAAAACAAAGCGAATAGTTTAAGGCATTTAATATAAGTATTAAATATGAATGCTAAAGAATGTTAAGATGATACATACATACATACACACATACATACATACATATAATATGCATATGCAGTTGATGCATTATTTATAAGCAGATAAAGGAAGAATTTCTTCCTCTTTAGCCATAATCATAATCATCGATACGCATTTTTCTTGACATTTCATAAACACAATATAAGTCATAATATTGATTAAATTTCATATCTCGGTTATTGATGATGTTGAGTTAAATTTCATAGATTTCATTTGGCACTATTGATTCACATAATTTATCGCAACCACCGTCGTTATCAACATTCTCATCTGGCTTAATTTCGCCGAGTGCGCATTTATTGACGACAGAATTATCAACAATTCAATACAATTATCATCATCATAATCATTATCATCATAATCATAATTATCAGCAATTCATCGTACAATCAAATCCGAACGTTGTGGTCAGTTTGTTGCTGTCGCAAGTGTTATCTTCATATTTGTGCTACATATTCGGCAAGTTTGCCTGCAAAATTAAAATACAAGAATTCAGCTTTGCTCTGCCAATCAGCCTCGCTACACCACTGTCTGCGGCTACGATTGTCATACTGATATGGTTGCGTGAGACGGACGTTTGCTCATTTAATGACTACTTGCCGAATTATTTGTCATTTAGAGGACCGGTATTAGATGATGATAATGACGATTATGCTGGCCAAACTTTGCAGTGGTGGCGATTGGGGGGGAATGCATTTACTAAAGACTATATATGGCTATGGATACTGTGGTGGTTGTCACAATTGTGGGTAACGAAACATATTTGGAATCCGAAAAATGATAAAAATCTACCCACCGAAAAGCTGTTCATATGTCCGTGGTACAGTGGCTTTTTCATTGAACAATGTATTACAATGAATCGACGCATAGCTGATTGGAACGAGGACTATTTATCAATAAAAGTAAGTAGATTTGAATAACAGCAAAATGATGAATGTCTGTCGAAGGACGAATACAAAGAAAACAAGCAATCAATACACAAAACACACTCGCATTGAATAGAATTCGAGTGAAGGCAAATGAAGTCATCAAATTCGACTTTGGTTTCTCTTTTCAATATTTTGCGCCTATGAATGAATCTTTAGCGGGAAACGAATGCAAACTCTCTGCAAGCATGTAACTAATTGATATTGAAGTTATAAGCGATCTTTCGGTAATGCTTTCGGGCAACGCTTATCGCTTGGTTGCTTGGTTGTCCAGTTCGTCACTTCTTTCTGATTGTCAACGTCTTACGCGACGAGTCAACAACTCCTGACTAATTGGGGTGATATTAAAGAAAAGAAAAAAAAAAAAAAAAAAAAAAAAAACAAACCCATTATAAATACCGGTCGTAATCCATCGATCGATCTCAGTAATATTACCACACCTAAGAGCAAAGCCTTACAAATTGTTGTCTGAGTGGAAGGCGCGTATTGCGTCACAGATCTTAATATACATTCTCGACGGTTGCATGACACTTTTTACGCTATAATAACTGGCAATGAAATCAATCAAGAGTTTCGTATAAAGTCAATAATTTAATAAGTTCATGCATTTATGTTAGGAGGTGGGGGTGGGGGAAGGAAGAATCGAAAAAAATTATTTGCATTTATATACAGCGGACAGTCCACCAACCCTTTTAAATATTATTGCACTTCATTACACACCGATACACACACATACACAAAATGACTAACAACCACTAATGGTTTAACAAGTTGAGTCATCACTCAGCGCAATGTCGAGCCGTTGTTGCCTGCGTTTCACCCATCCTTCACAGAGTAATGAAATATTTCACTTGTAAATTGTTATGTATAAACAGTTTTGCATCTACAGAGCGAATCGCCTTCACCGAACGGAAATAGGACAACAGATATCCTCGAAACGGATAAAATACCTCAACTGATTATTTGTGCTACCATGTGGCATGAAACTCAAGATGAAATGATGGAATTTTTAAAATCAATTGTGCGACTCGACGAGGATCAATGTGCAAGACGTATGGCAAAAATTTACATAAACAGTGGAAAAGCGGATGATGAATATTACGAACTCGAAAGTAAGTTATTTTGCGACCTTATACTGAAACTACGTATTACGACCTGTTCGAGTTTACACAATTGGTCGGCGAACATAAATGAAATGCGGTATTTAGGAAAGTCGATGTTTTAATTAATACTTTAAATAATGCAGTGCACGCACATCTTTGCCCAGTTAGCGATAGTTTTTTTTGTAGAACACAACATATCTTGAACTGAACAAGAAAGCTATGCACGCACCTAAGGCTGTACTGTTTTTTTTTTTTTTTTTTCTCTGATTCTCATAGATTGCCAGGAATAGAGAAACTTCCAGGGATTCCCCGGGGGGAATCAAGGACTATAGACATGTACATTATCATATCTCGCCACCTATATACATATGAATAGGGAGCATTAATTGTTCGGTGTAAATTTGCCGAATTTTCTGCTTAATTTATTTTATTCTTCACGTAAAGTATGATGTAAACCGTATCATATGTCCGTGTAATATGGATTCCAATTTAAGGAACCATATTCATTTGTTATTTTATTGTTTGTTTTTAATGCAATTCTTCAGCAAGCGGCCGTCTCTTACGGTTCTGTGGAGGTTTGCTCGTAAATCCTTTTCAACAGGACAATAATGGAACATAATGTTGTCAGTGAGAACAAAAGGAAAAGAAAAAGAAAAGTAAAAATAAGCAGAGAATTGTGAAAAAAGCCCAGAACATCTCGAACGTATTTTATTCTCTGTTTTCTGGCTTATAAGAAATAATTTTCGTTTTCTTGTTTTTCCCCCCTTTTCTTACATTTACTATTTTTTAATTTTTTTTATTTTTTTATTATACTTCTTTCGCTGATCTACCTGTCATCACTGTTAAAATTGCAAATTATTTGTGACAATATGACCCTTGTACTGTTCGTTGCCGAGTGTGTCCGCTGTGGTTGCAAACTGCGTTTATGTTATTACTTTAAGTAGGCATGTATGCCTTTAATTGCGTAACTTAATGGGGTTACTTATGAAGTGCGAACAGATTATTCTATGATAAGAACACTACTACGGATACAAAAGAGGCACCAATTTATGAAGGCGTCTTATGTGTGTATGTGTTAATACCTTTTCGTTCAACTCTTTCAACTCTCTTTACAGTTCATTAGAATTATGTAATGAAATTTTATATGTAGACCTATTCAACTTTTGAGCTTTAGTAGTAGTGAGCAGTCAGAAAAGTGATTTTCACTTGAAGTTAGAAAGATTTTTAAACGAAGACATCAAATAACACTTTATTCAGTGTACTGTTGCTTAGTGGTAAGAAGTCATTATTATTATGTAATAGTTTCATACTAAAAACTAGTTGTAAACTTAAGGTTTTTTTTTTTTTTTTTGTATTTTCTGCTTTATCGCATTGTTTTCAAACAAATGCTTGCATAGCGAATATTTTCTTTGATGATGCGTTCGTTTTGGATGAGAAGTGCATGGAGAATGCAAAAAATCCGCCATTAAATGAATACGTTAAGCTATTGATTACTAGCATTGAAAAGGCGGCCTTCGAAGTGTACGGTGTGCAAATAAAAATTAAGTCGCCCGTTAAAATCGAGACACCTTATGGGGGACGCTTGGTGTGGACACTGCCGGGACGTTCGAAAATGATTGCCCATCTGAAGAATAAGGATAAAATTCGCCACAAAAAACGTTGGTCGCAAGTCATGTACATGTACTATTTGCTCGGATTTCGTATTATGGAACTGGAAAACGTGTCGGCGAAGCGTAAGGCAGTCATAGCGGAGAATACATTTTTATTGGCTTTAGATGGCGATATTGATTTTCAACCCCAAGCTGTCCAATTGTTGATAGATCGCATGAAAGCTATTGATGAACTGGGTGCTGCTTGCGGCCGTATTCATCCCGTTGGTCGTGGACCGATGGTATGGTATCAGATTTTTGAATATGCCATTGGTCATTGGTTGCAAAAAGCGACTGAACATGTAATCGGTTGCGTATTATGTAGCCCTGGCTGCTTTAGTTTGTTTCGTGGCAGCGCGCTTATGGAGAATAGCGTCATGAAGAAATATACGACAGTTTCCCAGGAACCAATGCATTATGTGCAATACGATCAGGGCGAGGATCGTTGGCTATGCACTCTTATACTTAAGCAAGGTTTGCGTGTTGAATATTCCGCGGCTGCTGATGCGTACACCCATTCACCCGAAATGTTTAATGAATTTTATAATCAGCGCAGACGTTGGGTTCCCTCAACTATAGCGAATATATTTGATTTGCTTTCCGATGCCGATATGGTCATAAAAAACAATAGTTCGATATCAATGCCATACATTATATATCAGGCCATGTTAATGATTGGAACAGTGCTGGGACCGGGCACCATATTCTTAATGATGGTGGGAGCTCTGGTTACCGTCTTTAGCACGGGCATATGGAACGCGTTCCTATGGAATTTTATACCGCTTTTAACCTTTATTCTATCTTGTATTTATTTGAAACAAAAATATCAGGTGAGTCCTCTTATTCTTCTTCTTCTTCTTCTCATCTGTTAGTAAGAATCCTTCCGGATAATTCTTTTGTTCTTTGCAGTTACTGTTAGCATTCGTTATCAGTTCATTGTACTGTCTGGTAATGATGGCCGTTCTAATTGGTATTATCATACAAATAATTGACGATGGGCCACTTGCTCCGGCTTCGCTATTCTTTTTATTGGTATTCTTGCAAATTTTTATCGCCGGTCAGTGCAAAACTTTAATACGCTGAGTATTTTTAAAAATGCTATAAACGGCTTACAGATAACAATACGTATTTAATGCATAAGATAGGGCAATTATATATGAAAACATTTTCATCAGAGCACGATTTTATACTACTACACACACAATATACAGATTAAACGAACGTAACCCAGTCACAGTATGGCCCGCCAGAGCATAATGATTATATCGCGGGTGTTTGAAAATCGGTAGAGATATTTAATATTTGAGTCACTGTGCTGTGAGTTGGGACTTTGCTTTTCCTCCGCCTAAAGGATGGATGTAAAAATTGTTTAAAAGAATTGACCATAACTTGGATGAAATGTACGGAGAAGTTGATCTAAAGTGAATATGACTTTTTCGTTTTTTTTCTTTGACATACAGGTCTTGTACATCCGCAAGAGGTTGCAGCATTAATTTGCGGCTTTATTTATTATATCACCATTCCATCGATGTATATGTTATTGCTCATATATTCGGTGTTTAATATGAACGATGTATCCTGGGGTACACGAGAGGTTGCGCCCAAGAAGGTAAGCTGCACTCTACATATATATATTTATATATATATATATATATATGTATGTAGATGTACGCGCAGACAAATCCTTTCATAGACAATTTCCATGCAAACCAAAGAATTTTACAAATTTATATGTATGTGCATGCGTGCTAGTATTTGTATCTTTGGATAAGTGAATGCAAAGTTTTTGTTATGCAAAAGTCAATTTAGATTTTGCGTAATGTTTGTCTATTTGCTTTTGTATATAGGAAGACGAGAGCAGTGCGCCCAGCCAGCAGTTAGATGAAAACAACAAAGAAAAGGATTACCTACCGGGCTGGATAAATGATCCCTTGCTCGTTGACTCCGAATTGGGTGAGATATCGTTGCGTGAGAAACGTTTCTGGAAGGAATTGATTAAACTATACCTTCGACCATTGTTTCATACCAAAGAGAAAAAATTAGAAATTGCCGACAGCCTGCGAGAGCTACGCAACATGTTTGCTTTCGCTTTTGTTATGATAAATTCGATTTTTGTATTGGTTGTGTTTCTATTGCAGCTTAAAAAGGATTACTTGCATCTAGAGTGGCCGATCGATCCAATCGATTTTATTACATACGATGATATTAACTCGCAAATCTATATTTATCGCCGTTACAAAGAATTGGACCCGATTGGTCTTTGCTTTGTCGTATTTTTTGGTGTGATTTTGATTATTCAGTTCATTGCAATGTTCTTTCATCGTTTCGCTACAATTTCACAGTTGTTGGCTACAACTAAATTGGATTGGTTTAGGACATCGAGTGCGGTAAGTGCAGCAACAGCGTTTGCTTTAAACTAGATTTCATGTGTGAATGGCAAAAAGTTAAATTAGTTTAGTTTCGTGTGTGCATCTGTAATTTTATTTGTTGCTATGGATATGCATAAGTACCAGCCTTGTCCGGTTGGTGCTATTGTAAATGCTTAAAAGCTTTTTTGGATAACGTTTCACAACGAATTAAAGTTTAAGCAAAGTGTTAACTACGTGCATCCATTCACAATTGCCCACACCGTTATGCTCTTTGACTTTCCTCATATATTGGGTGTTCGATGGTTGGTCGGTCGGTCGGTCGGTCGGTCGGTCGGTTGCATAAAATCAAATTTGAAGGCGTATGAAATTGAAATGAACTATAATAGCTACCGTTGTCATTTACGCTTTTCAGTTAACCGAAGAGGATGCTGCCCAAGAGATTCGCGGAAATGCTGTACATATAGCGCATCAACTGCAACGGCCCAAACGTCTAGACGACGACGACGACGACAACGATGGTAATGACGATGCAGTCAGCGACATTGGCCGCGCCAACGATGACAGCATTGACGGTGCAGTGCGTATGGCTCGCCGGCAAACTATATTCAAATTGCACGAGAGTTGTAACAAGAACCAATGCGATTATAGCGATTTACCGCGAAATTTCGAAAGAAGATTCTTCGGTAACGGTATGTACGGACAAATACACTTTCATGTTAGTTCATAAAGTGCGTACTTACAACATTCAGTTGAATTGCAAATATTTCCTTCATTTTTATTCACACTTGTTTTCGCACATTTCCTTTTATTTAAAATAGATGACATTAATGTTAAACACATCTCGATGAGCCGAAAGTCTCTAATGATGCTGAACAAAACACGTTTTGTGACGAAACGTCGCCTAACCGAACAAGTGCGATGCAATACTGATTTTAATAGATGTCCCCCTCAGGAGTGCTATGATAACATTGCATACGACGACAGCACCAAAGTATAAACTTGTGCCACTTGTGTTAACTGCACTTCTTCAATATGAACATTTTAAGTAATAGCCGTACAGTTTTTTTTTTTTTTTTTTATATATTCATGCACGTCGAATGTATGCCTGTGTGCTTGTGCGCTTGTGTGCCTGTGTGCCTGTGTTCATTTTTCATTTTATTTAAGGCAATAAACGGCAAATATGACTTAAATATGGATTCTGATTTCTGTTCAGTCATTATTACAAAAAAAAAAAAAAACAAAACCAACATATTAATGTTGAAAGATGCCGTCTTGCCTTGGATAACTTCGCACTTGCCTTGGATAACTCGAAACTTGAAGCAATGGCTTTTTCGCATGTATAGGAGATAGCGTTTTCAAAATGAAGCTATCATCGGTTGGCAAGAAGAAGATTATCAATTAGTTTCTTTTCATTTGTTTTTCTTCTTTTTTTTTTTTGTAGAACGAGGCAATGTCCTCATCTTCGTCAGCAAATCAACAATCGAACATTCGCTGTGGTGTATAAAAAAGGCCCAATGTGAACAAAAAAGCTCTCTGTTTGAGTTTTAATAAAGTCAGTGTTAGTTTTCATATATAATTATCAACATTTATTTATTGTGTTTCGTAACTGAACGATATACGTCCGCTAGGTTGTTTTTTTTTTTTTTTTCTTTTTTTAAATTTTCATTAATTTTGTTTACTACTCGTCCGCCGCGTAGGTTCATGTTTGGGTTACAAGTATCTGTACAAAAATGAAAATATCGGCCATGCCCGCCGAACGCGCAAAGTTGCATCTGTTTGTGTAAGATAAGTGGCGGGCATGAAAGATTCGTCCAATGTTCTAATTTGTTTCTTTTCAAGTTTTTCTGTTGCGCCTAAAAGCTCTTTCTCTTTCGCTTCAAATACGCCACCTTTAAAGTATCGTAACTACTGTCCATTTCCTTTAATTGATGAAATTTAATCAGTAACGCCAATCGATTACTTTTGCCAGGATGGTGTTTTCCTCTGCGTGAAGCATGGCTCGATCCTTCATTTTTCAACACTTAACAAAACTATGCTGAACGCACATCCGACTCTTCATTTACACTAAGCGTTTGTATGTTTGTTTGTTAGTTGAATTGAAACTATAAGCAATTGTTTCACGTATATATTTTGTTAAACAAAAACTGTTAAACGAAAAATGCCGTAAATGCATTCGGGACTCGCCCTGTAATGGCCATGAACATGAATAACATATATTATTACATTGCAAGCGTGAAATAGATGATATATTTGCATAACACTGTAAATAGTGTACGACCGAGCGTGCATATCTATAGAATGCATAATTGTTTACGCCTGCCTTCAAGTTTCATGCGGTGAAAGCATTATTAGATAAAAATTAATATTATGTTTAAACACAGCAGCTATTTATACACAGTATACACAGCATACGTCAGCGTATTTCTCTATGTTCGCTTAGTGAATGAATTTGCTGACTTTGTATTCAATTTCATTATCGAATTTTAAAAAGTAGACTAAGGCGAATTTCGTATACCCTCTACTTACGATAAAAGAAATACTTGAAAATCATTTTTGGTTCGTCGTGCTACCAGAGATTTTCCTCTTCACTTCAATCATAAATGTTTATCGATTTATCCATCGAGAGTATATCCAAAATGAAAAAGAGTTTAATTGATTTACTCATTTTTCGCCGGCTAAAGGCTGTCCCAAATCAAGTTTGGTTTACATAGTTTAGTCATAGTTTTCGCGTAGGTTTTTCGAAATATGACCTTTGATATCTTCTGCGAATTTCCTTTTCTTCGGAATAATTGTACTTTAAGGCTCGATCCATCACTTATAAGGCGATTGTGTCATTCGCTAGTTCTTCATAGTGTTTACGTAGGCTGATTGACGTATGACCTTTAATAGCATCTGTGAATTTTTTTTTTCCTCAAAACGTCTTTGCCGAAAAGATAATTGTACTTTCGGATGCGGCAAAATATCATACGAAGCCATATCACACACATGAGTACAATGCATTTGTTCGATAGCATTCTTTATACCCGTATTTTTGGCTAATAACCAAAGTCTTTTTATCTAAATATTCTTAATGACGATACAAAAAAAAAAGGGGATGCTTACGCAGTAGGCTTCAAAGGACCACTTTTTCGTACGGTGAAATTCTCATATTCTTTCAGGAAAACGGAGAGGAAACTTTACTTGACTCAGTACGAAAACTCAAAATCGTTATTTTCGGTATTACCTACCCCCTGTGTTCTGCGCACCGCTTTGATTCCACCAACAATACAGTATAGTGTTTTTAATATTGTTGAGTGTTCACAATGTGTTCTGCCATGAAATGCGGTCCTTTGACATGTCTAGCCTAAGTACATTAATTCCAAATTGAATTTTTGCCGGGCGCAAGGGCGCCGGGATTTCTTTGATGAAATTGAATTTGAATTTACAGTAGCCTATGCATTTTATAATAGAGTATCGTGAAGAAAAAGAAAAACATTATATATGTAATACACAAAGTTTTTCAAATAAACTTTTTTTTTTTTTCAATAGACTTAAAGGTGGAAAATGTAGTTTTACATCTTACATGTCTTAGAGCGAATTAGAGAGAATTCGATATTCTTACATATGAAAGACTCAAGCTATCATAGAAGTAGCTTTGCCAGGAAATTTATCTTTCATTTTTAGTTCATTACAATAAAAAAATGTATTTGAAAGAATTTTTTTTTTTTTCTATAATTCGAAGATATCTTGGTAAAGACAATGCAACTCTTGTTAGGCATAAGATCTTAGGACTTGGGATTCCTATAAGATGAAATGTAATGGAAATCTATGAGGCAGAATGCGGATGACCGCTTGCAATATTTCGAAATTCCATATATACGGTTGAATTGCATTGACCTCGTCAGAAGAGGTCAAGATGACGACTCACTTTGAATAGCAAATATAATTCAAATTTACGCGATTACATATGTGTTGGCTGAATCGGTGGTAAATCGAAATTTTTCAATTGTTTTAATAGGTGAATATTATTATAGCCTATAATATGTGAATGTATTCTCAAAGTCTGGGACGCATTTGTATGTGTGTTTAATGCGGTAGGCGAAACTTGTAGTTATTTACGGCACATTTTGCTCACCCATGTATTATACATAATAATACACTGTCACCGTGCATGCATGTATTTATATATAAGTGAAATGCTATGTAATTGTGTTGATGAACTTATTGCACAATCGCCGTACATACTGGCAGGCACATCAGCAATAATTGATAACCAACCCATCCAATAATTATTGCAAGTACATATTTTTTTGTACTTTGGCTTCGATCTGATCTTTGTAATTCCTATCAAATCGAAAAAAAATTCATAAGTAAAACAAAATAAAAAACATCTTCATAATCTGTCAAAGTTGCATGAAAAGTTCAGAAGTTTTTTAGTAATCAATAATCTTAACTTAAATGGAATTCAAGAGAATGAGGCAAACGAAGAAAAGTAATCAGATTTTGTTACTCAAGTAGCTGATCTTTATTTAAAACAAATTTAATTATAATACAATTTTCATGTTAAATGTCAATGGGGCGGAGAAGGAAGTGGGCATAAGGACATTTGTTATCCATTTCTCTTTCTATTCCTCTCCTCATTTTAGTTAAATTGCAAATGGTTCCAATATTTTTTCAATGATGGACCAGTTTTGTTGATTGATTGAGCATAGATTTACATCAAAGATTCTATAAACGATAGGTGACAGTGTATAGATCGCGGAAATGTATTTATTATGTCAAATTTAAAATTTTCATGTAAACCCTTTCGAGCATTTGATTGCCGGGATATGCATGCCGGGAGGAATGGGCGAACAGATGTAATAAATGGAAGATTTGGCGGGATCGATGGATGGACGGGACAGGCAAACGAACAGATGGAATCGGTAAAGAGAACGAGTAGACGAATAATCGAATGATGATAGAATCTTATGCTAATCAAGGCTGTACATAGGAGAAAGTCTTTGGTAGACAATGAAAAGAAATTCATCTTTAGGCTGACAGGCAATGAAATTTTCCCAAACCGCTTTGTGCAAGGCTTGACTCGTCTGTCTATCTACCCGCTGTTGCAATCGAAAAATTAACGCAATAGATTAAAGCTCGATATGTATAGAGTTACTCCAAACTCTATTAATCGGGTTTGCACAGGTAGTTAATATTCCTACTACTATGCCCACAACAGCAAAAATGACAAATCAATGAATAACAAAATATGTACAATTTGATGAGAGTTGCGGATAGATATTGAGATGTGGGCCATTTAGTGTAAATAATCAACAGCCTTACGGGTATGGTTGTGAGGGAAGCTAACAAAATTTTCGTGTAGGTCGTATTTGCGTCAGGTGGCGAGTATCCAAGTTGCATATGAATTTAAATGCAAAGCTTTTTTACTTCTTTTGCATTTTTATTTTATAGCCGGGAGTGCTTCCCATTAGGCATGCAAAAAATAAGGCATTTTTGTTTTTTTTTCTCTTAATTTTATACAAATACGTTAATAGTTGTTGAGCGTGTTGCGAAGTATGCAAATCCTCTCAGACTTGCTCAAGTGCAGGGTTTGTGCAAACATAAGACTCGTGTTGTGTAAATGTAATGAGTCTAAGCAAAGGAACGGTGAAGAATGTCGTTCGCAATTTTTTTTTTTAAACCTCTCGCAAATTTGTTAAACATATAAAGTGCTATACATTGTCTGAAAGACGAAATTCGTGTAAACATAAAAAAAAAAAAAAATAAATAAATAATAATATGCTCTACGAATAAAAGTGTGCATTGGAAACTATTTGCGAAATGTGGTTTTACCCGAGTCGACGAGATAATGCGACATTAGCCAGGTAATTACTTCCAGTTATTTTCGTGCTTACTTACTTGATTTTCGCCATGACCTTATGCATAACATGAAAATAAATTTCACTCACATATATGCATGAGGTGCACACTTGTAAGCCAAGTGGCCTTTTCTTAAAAATTCCCGTTAGTTTTCACTGCCAGTTTGTTTTTCATTTTGTAAATCT